TTCCAACGCCGTCCAATTAGTAACCCAAGAAGACTTGACCATTAGGCCTTGCAATTTCTGACGCTGCCAAATGGATGAGTTCGTGGCGTCTCCGCAAAAATATGTGGACCCCAAAGATATTGATTTGCTTGATGTTCGCAGGATCAGGTTTGGAAACGCCTGGGGATCATTGCTAGAAGGTACACCCAACTCGGCACAAATCATATCGTCTTGAGATAGACATGGAACTTCATGCACTTGGCTACCTGGATCCAAAGACACCAGTTGAAATCGTGGTGCGTCAGATGAATCAGCATCCAGAGGTCTACCATCAGAACTGCGCGCTGGATCTTGCATGCTGGCTAACTTCCGCAGTAGAGAATACATCATTCGATGAAAGGTGTGGGTTCGAATGATCAAGTAGGCTCCGCATAATATCTCAGCACGGCAAACACTTTGTCGTGATACATCTACAAGTGATGCCTGTGGAAAGGAATTGGCCGAAACGAGGGCAATTCCTTTCCGCAGGCCTAACGAAACCAACCCCTTCCAAGTAAGTTTACGGCAGTTTTTTCGCTTGACTTGTAGGTCTTCATCTTGATCTTGGGTCTTCAGTGTTTTCAGCTGAGTTTTCTGTCTGCCCACTTGTTTTTTCAGTCGCCTGGTCGATTGAGACCACACCTTTCGGGCTCGACTCATCCCTTCCAATTTGGTTTCCAGTTTTGAACCACGTGCAAGTTGTTGCATACACAGATCCACCAAAGCACCCTTGGTCAATGACTCAAGATAGACCTTTTGATCTTTGGTATTCAGCCTTGCTAGAACATGTGGCCTCAATCGACCACCATGTGGAACTTGTTGCTGCCGTTGCTGTTGTTGCTGTTGTTGTGGAGAACTTCCAGCGGCAGCGTCAACCAGTTGCAAGCCCATATGCGGAACAGTTGGAACATTGTGGGTTGGCCACTTGATATTAATACCAACAACATCAGCGTTCGTACCTGGTTCACCATCTTGAACTTCTTCGTGAGTATCAGGTGTGTCTCCTTCGAATCCACACATTGAACTGTCAATACTATCCGAGGGAACATGTGATGTGTCCGGCAACTTGGCTGCCGATGCGGATGACGATGTGCCTTCATGTTCAGTGCTAGTGGCGATACTGGCAGATGACGATGCACGCTTCAGAGACTGACGACGTTTGATCTCATTAGCAAGTCGTGTTGACCAGTCAGCGAGCATCAGTTGCACCCCTGCTGTTTGGAGAATATGGGGCAGATCATGTAAATCCACATACTTGTCAGCCTTGTCAACCTCAGCAAGTAAGTTTTAGATTTTTTGATTTATCCATCAAAACAGAAATTACCAACAATCAAACAACTTTTCTTTTACCAAGACCAAGGCCCATACCACAGAAAATAGAACATGTAGCAATCTGTGTGTGGCAATGTTATCGCGCAATATTCATAGAGTCATAGAGTAATGAATTTGGTTCATAGTAGTTTCGTTGCCCCAACAAAACAGATCACCAAAAAAGAGAATCCAGCCATGAGGATTTCAAGTTTCAAAAACATGTTGGTCTTTGATTTAGCAGTTTAGCAGTGCACTGTGGAACCCGATTGTCGAAAAAATATCGAACATACTATAAACAAAGACTACCCCTATTGTTATACAATCCCTCCAGTCCCTTAATGGCGGCCATCATGACAAACCCATGTCACTTTGGTGATGTATAGGTGAGATTCTGATCCAGGATAGAGATCCATTGCTCGTGTCAGTCTGGCTCCATTTGGTAGCAATTGCTCAATCGCTTTCAGCCTGAGATTCCAACTACTAATCAATGGATCACAGTATATACCCTTTTTTGGTGGGTCTGCAGTGTCTGCAGATCAAAGTTGTATGTTGAAATGGTCTATGGTCAGATCTTCAAAAATACTGAAGCCCAATGTTGCTATGGATGATTGGTAATTGCTTGACTCTTATATGGTGGTGGAATTGGCTGTCACACAGGCATGTACAAAAACCTAGTATCTCCTAGTGTGTTTATCGATTGAAATGATGATGACAAATTGATGTGAAAAGGGACCATGAAAACATCACAACATCATACTGTGTGGGGATGGGATTGGGAAAGTAAAAAAAACAAAGAAATGTTATTGCTAAATCAAATCGGCCAAATGACTGATCTCTGGTGCAGAACAGGCTCTCTTCACGCAACCACGCTGTTTGCATCAATCTGTAAAGACGAACCGACACAGCATCTGATGATGTCGGATGATTCATGTCCAGTCGCCACCCATGGGAAGTGAGTCGGATGCTGATGACTAAACCACTACAACTTACAACTGGAAGTTGCAATTTATGTTTGTTCTTTGCTTGCAACGAATAGAATTCTTGTTCAACCTGTTGCCATATTATCAATTGGTGATTTTATTCGTAACATGTAGCATAAAAACGTGTATGTCTTTTGAAAATTCCTTGAGGTTCAAGAAATTAATGAAACCACCATGCGTTTTGGTGGTTCATTGAATCCAATTCAGTTGATATCTTTCTACATGCGCCAGAAATATATCGGCAAGCCCCGAGCGTATGTGGTTGAAACTTCGGCCCCAGCAACAAAGGCAACCCTGAAGGTGGCAACAACCATAATTCAACCCATATGTTTAGCATCTTTTCTTGGGCCCCACATCAATCACACAGCTTAACAACAAAAATGTAATCATGATCAAAGATATTCTGATCACCAGAATGGAATAAGTCATATAAAATCACCTACATAGATAATGTGTTCACATGACCAAATGTTAAGTAATCAACATGCCCATGACATCATTATTGAACACGGGTTGGTGTCATATAAACCAGAAAAAGGTTATCGTCAATCCAGTCGCCTGGTGAAACATAAAAATCCCTGGCTTCAAAACATATATTATTTCCTAGCAAACATCAACAGTAAAACCCATAAACATCAATGTTTGCACCACCAACATGTTACATAACTACAGACCCCATGTCCTTAACCCCAAGTTGATGAAGGATAAATTATCATTTTTGATAGTCCGTACATGATGTCATCTATTTTTTTGGGGTAGACATAACATATTCGAAAAGTTAAACACTCAATGTTGCAACCACAATGACTAATAACTTACAAACTGGAAAAAATGTATATAGGTTTTTTTTTAACATATCATTGTTTCAACCTCTACAAATACCTAACTGCACCCCTAGGGTCAGTCCATTTTGCTGACCCCGGGGCTATGTGCCAACAAGGTTTTAGGCTTCACTTTCAGCCTGCATTTGGACAAGCTTAAATGAAGGGTGGTGTGAGACTTGACATCACATAAGAATACATACGCTCAGTGTGAGACTTGACATCACATAACAATACACTCACTGAAGGGTGGTGTGAGGCTGTGGTGCGAGACTTGACATCACATAAGAATATACGCAATGAAGGGTGGTGGGAGGCTGTGGTGTGAGACTTGACATCACATAACAATACGCTCGTGTAATGGCTGCATGATTGTGCAGCTGGTTGCCAGGCACCTCCTGTGTGCGACGGTTGCGGCTGGGGTCGTTTTGGTTCCTCCTCTGTGTTCTGCAACGAGTGGTTGTTCCTGTGTGCGTAGCTCTATGCGTTTCTTGAATCTGTGGTTGCAGATCGCATTGTAGTGGCTGCATGAATGAATGTTGCACGGGCTTTGTTTTGGGGAGGAAGCCGGAGCACGATACCTTGCATTTTTCTGTGTAAAGTGGCTGCAGCCGGCGATGAAAGGTACCTCCTGTGTGCGGCGGGTGCGGCGGGGGTCGTTTTGGTTCCTCCTATGTGTTCTGCAACGTGTGGTCGTTCCTGTGTGCGTAGTTACGTAGTTCTATGCGTTTCTTGAATCTGTGGTTGCAGATTGCATTGGAATGGCTGCAGGATTGTTGTCATGCTTTGTTGCTATGTGCGTAGATACGTGCAGGTTTGCGACGGGATGCTGCGAAACGCATTGTAATGGCTGCATGAAAGTTGCACGGGCTTTGTTTTGGGGAGGAAGCCGGAGCACGAAACCTTGCGTTTTTCCGTGTAAAGTGATTGCAGCACGAAACCGTACCTCCCGTGTGCGGCGGGTGCGGCTGGGGTCGTTTTGGTTTCTCCTCTGTGTTCTGCAACGAGTGGTTGTTCCTGTGTGAGAAGTGAGAAGTGTGAAGTGTGGACTGTGAAGTGTGAAGTGTGGAGTGTGAAGTGTGGAGCCTTAAGAGCGCAGTATGAAGTGAAGTGCGGAGTGCGAAGAGTTCAGTGTGAAGTGTGAAGTGTGGAGTGTGAAAGTGTGAAGTGTGGAGTGTGGAGTGTGAAGAGTGCAGTGAGAAGTGTGAAGTGCGAAGTGGAGCTTCCAATGTGACATGTGAAACAGGACACCACTTTCGCAGAATGCACGCACGCACGGGCCTGGCTGGCGCACGGCGCATGCAAGTTCTATAGATGAGAAAGGTCTTATAGTATATCCCTAATGCAACTTCCGCCCCGCCCCGTGCGGGTACTACTGGTAATCTTATATATTTTTAAGCAGCCGGAATTAATCATCACCACTTTGGGTTGGTCCCTCCCTATTAATAAACATGTGCGACCCCCCATCAAACAGCCCAACCCTCAAACAACACTCTGCTCAAAAATCGAATTGTGGTATTCAGGACATAATTAATTATTGCTCAATGGCATTGACTGTTTTTAATAGCTGAAAAAGATGAAAAAGTAATTTCTTGAAGGGATGTCCCATGTCCAATCTCACCATCTCACCCCATTGGGAGAGAGGTTGCCGCTGAAAAGAGAATCTCGACCCATTGGCAGGCAGGTTGGTTGTTTTTTGTGTATGACAAGCCCTAATGGTGGGGACTCTTACCTTCTTGGGGGGGTTATTAATACGAACTTGGCATTACAGTAAAACCATATTATAAAAACATGTCATGTGGATGAGTATGTCCGCATTGGGGTACCCCCGAACCCCCCTGGCCGTTACACGGCCGGAGCGGCAAGTTGCAGCTCCAGTTTGGAACATGTAGACACCGCGGGCGATGCCTTGTGAGATGAAACGAAATGCCAAAGTATCACCGGGAACAAGGGCTGGAAGGTGGCCCTTGTAGTATCTGCAAATGTGCAAGCTGTGCATGGCGAAGGGATACTGTACTTCTTCTTGGTATGTTGGAACGTGGTTTCGTATGACCAATTTGAACACGTTTTGGGAAGAGTACCACTGCACTTCACTGCACCGTCCTTAAGTTGCAGGAGGAGGTGGCAACACATCCTGGACCCGTGACTATGTCATACGGCATGATGATCCTCAAAGAAGAAGCACCTTGGGAGATATTCCGTGGCACCTTCCATGATCTTCAGGGTGTCAGCATACTATCTTGGCTTCCCCTCATACAGCCCATACCCTGCAGTCCCGGCCAAGACTTAGTTTCGGCCTGGGAAGGGATTGTTGGACAGGTCACTCACAGCCTCAGTGATTCTGCCAGGAATTTCCGGACTTCCACCGCTGAGATCCAAAGGCCCCAGCTCCAATGGGAATGGTGACGGAGTAGTACCTGAGCCATTTGCTGCAATTGCTGAAGGGCGGCACCAATTACAGTCCAAGCACTGTAAAAGAATTCCTTGTACAAGAAAATGAGGGGCTGGATTTTTTGCCGCCTGTATGTTTTGCGGAATCTTTTTGCAAATGGAAATTAAGAAATTGAGGGACCCTGGAAAAAAGGCAAAGACATTTATATAGATGTATGCGAAGGAGCCCCTTTGCGCCCCTGCTCAATTTTCTGAACCATGAAATGGCTGATATTAAGATTCTATCCGGAGCGGGAAATGGAACCAGCCTCTCTTGCAACCAAATACCCGCCAAAATGAACTTTGCACAACCATGGCATGGTTGGGAATGACAAGCAAAAAGCCGATCCAACCCAGGTTCGGGCCACTACACGGTCACGAAGCGTATAGGCAACAGCTTCAGCCAGACACGAGCCAGACTCACTGCAGGTCACCTGTGCCCTTGGCTCGTGTTGCCTTCTATTGCCTTGCCTTGCCTTGCCTTGCCTGTGCTGCCTTGTTGCACTGGGTAAGGGTTCAATTCAATATATACATAACTCAGAAATCCAGCCCCTCAATATCTTAGCCATGTAAGGGTTTCTAAGAGCCTTGTGTAGAGGAGACGTCACCGGGTAGGGATTCAACTCAATACATAACTGAGAAATCCAGCCCCTCAATTTCTTAATCATGTAAGGGTTGGTAAGAGCTTTCTGCAGAGGAGACTGGGTAACTGTTCCTTTGCGCCCAGGAGCCACTGGGAAGTGGCGCAAGTGGCGGAGTCAAACTCACGAAAGGAGCTGCGCAGAGGCAACCCCGCTCTTACATCTTCAAATCTGACTGCTTGTGAAATACTACATTAAGAAATTGCTAAGAAATTAAGGGACCCTCGACCGAATAATTGTACACTGACATACATGGGGCCTTTCCGATAAGAAATTGAGGGACCCCGGCCATCGGCATATAACGCTCGCGCTGTAGTTGCTATGCTCTAGCTTATCAAGTAAAGCTGTGAACATGTCCGAACCTGAATTATGGTGCCAAAAGACTGGCCAAACAACTTTGATTACAGGCTGTGCATTTGCCAGGGTCTTTGGGACGCCTTATTCAAGGAATGCATGAATGCCTCATCGCAAATACGGGGCTTTCTTTGAAACACGATAAGAGACATACGTAGACAATTTCTGTCAACCTGGACGTACCTAGCGCCCCACCCAGTAACATGGGCTATCAAAGATTAGAGAGCCGAGGAGAATCCATACGTATCCAAACCCAATCATATTTGATGATATTTTGCGCGGTCCAAGCTCATACAAGCCAAGCAAGGCTTCCAGTCAAATGCGGTCAGAAAAAAAACTCATCAGAGGATTTTACCATCGCTGGGTAACAACAGCCCACCAAGTCAACTGTCCGACTCTTGGCCGCCACACGTAGATGTGCTCAAGATTCCAGTGAGATCCACGATCAACGTATCTTGATCGATTGTGACCGCCTCAGAGCAGCGTGGATGGTGCCGTGTGGTAGCCTGGTAGCATCTGGTTGCCCTGAGATGCCCGAGATGCCCTAAGCAATACCCTCTGGTTATGACTAACATAGCTATGGAAAATCACCATGTTTAATGGGAAAATCCACTATTTCTATGGTCATGTTCAATAGCTACGTTAAATTACCAGAGGGTATCTGCTCAGCTCCCCGACTGCACTCCAAATACTGAGTTCAGCAATCAGCTTGTCGGCTTCTCGATCTCAGCCGATCCCCATGCCACGGAGGCCGTTTGGGATGATGGTTGCAGCTGTTGTCGCCAATGTGGCCGTCAAGGTATCAAACTATATAATTTGGATTAATTTGGTTTAGATCCATCTATATAATGAACCTTAGGCCAAAAGAATACATGATACAAGCGAATCAAAATCATCTGCAGCGAACAACCTGAAGGGATGTGACATTCAATCCATTGTAAAGATTGATGTTCAAGGATCACAGACCTGCACACATGATGAATGTAGCCTCTCATCTACTGTACATTGTGTCTAGCCTTCCCTACAAGCCACATCTACTTCTGCCCAGATGCCGCTTTGATTTCCTCCCAAGGTGTAGACCCCAATGTTGCTCTCTCTCCCTGAGCGGGCAAAGGTGATGGGGAAAAAATCCGAGGGCAACACTTCTCAACTGGAGTTTTTTTAAAGTTACCCTGGTCCGACAAGTATGTTGAATCCTTGTCTCTTCCCAAACTCCTGTGCTGTACAGTACGAGTACTTGTTGTGCACTCCAGTCTTTGAATTGCAAGTTTCTAACAAAACATGGACAACAGCCCTAGGTCATCAAATGGGCTCATAAAAAATATAGGTTCCCACTCAGGTCGTTCATATTACCCACTCAGTCCAATTGTTTAAAAGGCGGTTTCCCCCTTCTCATATTGGCTCTGTAGCTCACTGTAAGGCAACAGGACTACCTGCAGGAAACATCCCTTGAACAATGACCACCAATGAACATCGTTGGCAGGGACTCCAGGCAGAATTTGATCGTTTCATCAAAGAAGAAACGGACGATCGGATCCTGCCAGCTGCGGCAAAAACAACTTCCGGCGCTGGGGAAAAACTGCCATTTTAAGCAACAACCTGCCATAGTGACCTCCCGATTGCCTATAGTTCATCCCAAGAAGAACGGATTTACACTCTGTCAACATTATTCAACACTCGTCAATTGTAAAGCTGCAAACTTTGCATCCATGCCAATTTGGGGGTCTGATTTTTCACCAATGCTCCCCTGCAACACGGGCATCAGTTGAATTTCTTGACTACTAATTTTCCGTTCTTGTCAGAATTCTACACATGTGACCCTGTAAGCCACCATGTAACCATGTATACAAAATCTGACACAAATGCACACACGTGTGTATATACTTGTTTATTTATTTATCTATCTATCTACTTATTTATATTTTTTCTACGTATATGTATTTATCTTTATATATTAATGTTTAATTAATGTATTTGTATGCACCGGGCGTGACCAAACCAAACACCCTGATTATCCCTCATTCACAAATCTGCCACCCGGGCCCCCCACAATGGGCACTGATACAGCCTGGGAGTTTACAAACGGTAAAATGGCTGCCACAGTTCCATGGCTACTGACTCATGCAACGCTGGACCATCTTCGATCACTTGTTTCCATGTCAAAGGGCCACTTGAACACACTTATAAAATCTTATATATTATATGTACGAGTACTTTACTATTGTGTGCTCATGTATACATGCACAGAAACATTATTCTGCAAATCAAGAGTATCGACTTTGTACGAGTATGTGCAAAGTTAACTATATCAAATCACCAGCACTTGGGTGTTTTAAGCATGTTTGAAATCCCACAAACGCCCTTGCTTTCAGACTAACATCGTTCATACCATTGACATTCCCAAATGGAATCAGGTCCAGGTCATCCCCTTCGCATCTTCCAAATGGCTGGGCTTTCCCACACTGTTTCCAGGCATAAAGGAATTCACCTCCACGGCCCGGCTTAGCTCTGCAAGACGGAAAGTCCCTTGAAAGAAACTGTTTCTTAAAGTACTTATTTGGGATGAGCACCCTGTGACACCCACTGGTGATTTCCGCGGCGAACAAATCCTGGAGGAATGTTGGCGTTCTCTGGGGCACATTGAACTGCAAGAAAACAATGCAGTAAATGGCATCTGAGCGGCGGAACTGGTCCCGCACCTGAGGTGGGATGCCATCCGGCAACGTGACGAACATCTCATTGTCCTGCGATCCAAAACGGGTATTGTCAGGCTCACTATCTCTGGAAGATACCCTACATGTGTGATAAAGAAAAGAGGATGTCTGAGGTAGTGATGACTTGGAGGGTCCTTTCCTAAAAACTGGCTACTCAAAGGGCCCCCCGGGACATTCCGATTTTTCGATCCCCCAGAGCCGGTCCGGAAGGCCATTGAAGGGCAACAAGGCATCCACACCACGGACCTAGGAAACTAAGGGTAGAAACAAAGGGTCCCAAGGGTCCCAAGGGAAAGTCACCAACAACTGGCCCAAAAAAGTGGCCAAAAATCACATGATTTCAGTCGGACATTTATGTAACTAGAGCTAAGCATCACAAATCACTTGGAACATCTTAGAACTATCACAAATCATTGTGATTCTACATGATTCCACATGGAAAACGTGAACCACATCCAACTTCGTTGTGACATAATGCGACAACCTCGTGCATCTACAGATTGAAGCCATGGTCGACTCACAAGTAAAACCCATTCCCACAACGAGCCAAGCTACTGCCGTGTCCGTGATGACCTGGCAGTGGTAGCATTGGATGCCAGGAACATGTGTTTTTAAACGTGTCTCAGGAACATCTGCACCAAGTTTCACCTCTTTTTGTTTAATGCGTGTGTAGAGTGTAGATTCCATCCTTCAGTTCCAAACAGCTCAATCCATCCTTGCAATCCATTACCCATAGGATCCATGGTGCTGGTATATATGCTAACATGACTGGGGTATATTGATGGGATCCATGTTACCATATATGGCAGCACCATGGATCCGTCATGGGTTATGATTTCAACAAACACTTCCAACATCTTCCAACTGGTGGCAAGTTACCACATCGCAGTCTCTGTTTTCGTCGTTGGGCAGTCCGAAGACGTTGATGTGCAACATGGTGCGATCGATCTCCTACCGACGAGGATGGGCTCAACACAGGGTGATGTTAAAAACATACAGAAACCTATGCAAAATATACGTAATACATACATAGTACCTACATAATCCATACAGAATACTCATCATAATACTTTATAATACTTTATAATCATCATATTTCAGAGAAGAAAGTCCCAGGAGAAATCCCAGGAACATAAATACATATATTTTGACGGTTTTTCAAACCATGTGGGCAGGAGACCGTCAAATAAAACATGTGTTTTTCGAGTCATGACAGAACTGGGATGAAATGGTCATCATTTCACGCGCTCCACCGGTCCAGGTTTCTGTACTCCACTTCGAAGGTGGGAGGCCAATCTCCCCTCATCACACTCCCAGACCCCAGCTGGTGAGAAACGGAACATCGGACCAGTATGGACCAGTTGTATTGTTTGTAGGATTGTGTGATCACATCACTATGCCACTAGGCATTTCCTTGATGTTCCTTCTTTACATAATTAGACATGATATTATTCCTCCATTTTTCCTGGTGATATCATTGATATCCAATATCCACCGTGGCCATTTGGCCTGCTGTTTTCCAAGCTTGGTTTCCGACGGTCGCACAGGGCGGCACCTTGGAAAACCCGAGCATCAAGCGTGGGCCTTTGAGCTGGTGAGAATTGATCATCCCCCTTTAAACACATCCTAAACAGTCCCAAATCATCAAATATATGTGTATAGATACATGTAGATACACTTCTGAATCATGGTTGCTGACTCTTGCAACTACAGGATTAAAGGACATTAAATGCATGAAGCCGTTTTATCCAGCGGTGCTGCACAAATGACGTGATTTGCAGCAAATCGCAGGAAACTGTCGTCGAGTTGCTGAAGGAGGACACCAGAACCAATTCCTGGCAGTGACACACAAGGGAGATTCACCCAGACTTATTGTGCTTATTGAATCACTATTAACATCTATTAGCTACATGATGCTACATGGATATCTATGGACTATGATGGACATGAATCAAATCCTATTGGATCCTATTGGATCCTGTTGGGTTTCTTGCTGGATTGTGGTGCCAGTGCGCACAGGAAAATCCTACTGGCTGTCTAGCCCTCTGCAACATCACCAAAAGTGCTTGGAACGACGAAGAAAAACTGGTGAGGAGGGGGATCTTTTGACATCTCAAGACTCTCTCGAAACAAAATCAGCAAGTTGATTCGCTTTGAGCACATGTCTTTCTTCGCACCGGTTGCTTAAAAGATGCGTTTAAAGAGCGACAACCAAGGACATCAATGATTAATGGTCAGAGAAACTCTCAATGCCTGTATCCTACTTGACGCTCCTGGGACCGTATCACCCACCACACTATGCACCTATGTGCATAAACTCCATCTCCCTGGCCAGAAGGCTGATGCCAAGAAGTAATTATGCGGATGGCGCCAAGCAGTTCGCGCCGTCAGTGCCACCATAATTAGTTTCTTCTTCTTCTTCTTCTTTTTCGACCAACAAACCACTACTATCCACTACTACTGGAACTAAGTACTTTTACATTCTTGACATGTACTTTTACATACTTCCACTCCGGAAACTGGAGGTCTGATACCTCGCCTGTCGAAGGACATGTTGATCAGCCAACCAACTTCCTCCCTCAGTGGTCATGGAGCTTTGCACAAGATCACAAAAGGGGCTAAACATGGCTAAACAATATTCATGATTAGGGGATGGGTCAAAACCCTATCCCCCTGGTGAACATCAAAATAACTGGTAAATGGATGTTCATCCCCCTAAAAATGATATGTATAGGTATTGATCCATAGCCATTATTCATTGATGTATATTCATGTACTTGTCGGTCTTGTCTTTGTGGATGCATTTTGGGGGTTCGTTAACATGGTTCAACAGTCAGTCATTTCCAAATTGAATTGTTGTACCGTTGCGGTCTACACTGGTCCTTGGTTTGGGCGCCCAGTATTGGAAAGGAGTATGCCCCGTGTCTGAATTAAAGTAGATCCAACACTTCAATAATTAGCCAGCTTGTTTCAAGGATTTCAGCAATTTAGCAAGAAAATCAGAGGCAAAGCTCCAAAAGCAGTGATACCAGTGTCAGCTTCAAGCCAGGACCTCAAAAGCATCCACCACACCAGCTGGGCTACACCGGCGATCCCATGATAGCCAGGTTCTGAGGGCTCTTGGCTCGGATCTGGCGGGAGACCGGGAACCAGCCAGTTTTCTGGATCCTTACTGAAGCTTTGTCTCCTGATGATGCCTGATGGGCTTTATGAGTTTTGTGAGTTTGGTTCCTCCACTTGTCATTCGAACCCAAAACATATCAACACATATTCAGATAGTAAATAGTACAGCATGTAATGTTGACAAATCAATACAAATCATGACAAATCAGCATGCAGCGAATGGAATCAGAATTTACGGAGCAGTGATCCCCTCTGGCCTGTACTGAGGTTACGCCCCAACTTGACGACACCCTATGGCGCTACAGGGCCATTCGTCTAGTACATGCTGGGCTGACTTTTGGAGTGCTGCAGAAGTATTGTCGCGGACAGGCAATGCCTGCAGCAGTTTTGGTCAAGATGCCTTTCAATGGAAAACAAACGTGTCTCTCTTTGGCTTCGAAGTTTGATGGACATTTCGGAGTGTCAAGGGCTACACATTCCCAAAGGCATGTGGCCAAAGTTGAGGATCATCACTGCCTCAATTTACCATAATTTACCCTTGCTTCACCGTCCACTTCTCCGTCAAAACAGATTATCCGACAAAATCATCCGCTGAGTTTCAGAACAAGTGTGGGACAGTGTGGGATATGCAGATATTATCGATATTCATTAGGACTTCCTAAAGATTCCAAACATATGATGGGAATACGCAGGAAATCCCTGGGAATACCCCCCACACCCCTCAACTGAGCTGCAAACATGCCGTTCCCCCAGTGGGATTCAGCTCGCAAATGCCCTTTTCCTCGGGGTCTCAGAAATTTGATGCCCCCAACAAATCACCCAACCCACAAATTTGGCAGTTTTCTTGGGGAACTATGAGGATATACCATGATACCAGGACCATGGGAAGGAGTCCAGATTTTGAGACACAGTCATTTCTTCCAATTCTGCAACTGCTTCCCGGACTTCAAATCAATTGACAGCCTTCTCCCAGACCTTTCGTTAGTAGACAAAATATATCCAATCACAAACATCACTTTAAACTGTACGAGCAAGTGCCATTAAACCGCCAGAAAGTGGCGTTTACCTTGGGGCCCTGCAGTATCCAACCTCCCCAGTGACCGCCCAGCGGCCATGTTCCAATTACATCCTCCCTGTGCCAGGACGCAAGCCTGGCCGCGGAGGGAGCACAGCTGTCTCAACTATCACGCAAATGGGAACACACATTTTGAATATTGAATATTTGAATGACAATTGGGAACACCTGTTTCATCCTGGAGTCTATTGGGATATATTGGGATAACTTCCACCGGTCAGTGGTAGAAAAAAGTTCCGCCCACTCGGCTGCCGCACGCAAGGAGCGGATTTTGAGGCGCACAACTTCGCAGGCGTTATGACACATCGGTCCTGCGTGCTGGCTGCAGGTGGCAGGGGAATGACGAGGAGCTTGTTCAGCCTTCTACTGCAGACTTTGCATATAGTGAAGTGTCTCAAAATGGTCCATCATGGAGATCGATTGTGAAGAAACCCAACACACGGTGATACTCACATCAGAACAGGACTCTTTGAGATGCCAAGTTTCCTCGGCAAAAAATATAATTAAAATGGTAAAGAATCAAAACTGCTGCTGCTCTGGTGGCTGGTAACATCAAAATATCTAATCTAGCAAATCGATTTTCAGCCCCTTATACAAACAAGAAAGTCCTCAAATCCGATAACATCTTTTGCACAGCCAACATTGCCAGTCCTGCAACGCGCAAGCCTCACATGGAACACCTGGTAGCGCTGTATGGACCTGCACCGTGCGGAACCCTGCGGACCCCGGTGGGAACCGTGCTCTCAGTGCTCTCAGTTCTGATGGCATCTGATGGCAGCATCCAAGCCCCGGGCACAGGTGGCAATGCCGTTAACTCCTGGGACCTTAGCGATGGCCCACTGAGTCCACTGGTGGGAAAACATGGCCACAACTTGGCACAATTTTCAATGGGAAAAATATGGAAAAATCGAACATCACTGTCAAGGTTCTCTACATTCTCTGACATTCTCTGAACACTTAAGATATCTTAAGCTTGCTTGTTGGTAACAAAATGAAATAAAGCCCAAGTATCCCCAGGTATCCCCAGGTATCCCCAGGTGTTATGTCTCCTCACCTGAAATGAGGCTCCCTACCCACTCGCAGCTGGGCAAAGCCGCACAAACGCAAGCATTGGAGCCAGCCTCGGGGATGGGGCTGGATGTCACAACGGGATGTCGGCGTTTTTTGTGAAAATATGTGACCGTTATGCAAGACCACGCTGGAGTGAGAATCCAGAACTGGTCATTTTTAGCCTGAATCACTGAACATGATCTACATGATCTGAATGGTCCCGTTCTTAAGTAATTACGCAATTTGGACCCATGCCCAAGTGTGGCGCTTCAGCTTCAGAAACAAAGACCGTGGGACAAGGCTTAGAGCCCTTCCAGTGCCATGAAAGCATGCCCAACAGTGAAAAAAAACCCAACAAGCATGCAGTGGACATCCGAGGAACAAAATGGTATGAAAAAAGGTTTTACATGACTTACATGTCTAAGATTGTCTAAGTCCAAACAAATCTAAGATCCAACCCTCCTCCAAACAACTTATCAATTCAAGAATCCCTGAGAAAGTTCTCCATCGAGTTCACTTGGAACATGAAAACCACGTTGCACACCTGTCCCTGGCGCATTCCATCGGCTGCTGAGAAACAGTATTGCAGCTTCCCACCTCTGCAACGTCAAACTCGCCTGGAATCCGAAAATGAAAAAAAAAGCGGCAGAAAAGGTGGCCACCGCTGCAAATCCCCAACGGATTGTCTGCAAACATCTGCAAACTAGCAAAGTTTCTTGGTAGTTCCCATCATTCAAAAGCACACACCTACAAATTTTCATCAAATTGAGATCAATGTCTAAAATCCTAACATCTGAGAATATGTTGCAAACCAGCCGGCCCAACCCTGTTGGGGAATTGGATTATGGCTGGTTGCTGGGACTCATGGTGAGACATGCCCTGGCCTTCTAAATTGGGCTGCCACGTGATACTGTCTGAGCCAAGACATTCTGGCCTCAGTGTCGCTAGTGGTCTTTGGCAAATGATTTCAAGTTATGCTATGATCGTCATGGTAGGTACCTTGTATAAATTCAAGTATGAAGAAGGACTGACTATTCATATGTTCTTGAGACCCCCCACTAATTAGTAGTATCCCGTATCCCATTACATTTAATTCCTAGATATTGATATTACTAGTATATAAACGGGCGGCTCATTAATCTTTGGTCGGTAGTGCCAATGCAAAGAAATGAATAGCGAAAACATGATGGTGCAGCCAAAGATACCCTCACTAAATGAGGTCAACAAGACAGAATATGTGAATGAAACTACAGGGCGCAAAGGAAAGAAACAAGCAATCAAAACAGCACATTCCACATATTGTTGTACATTGATGCATATTGTCATGACAAATAGCTGTACCCACGAATTTCAACATGGTTTTCTCGCGGGATAACATGGGGCCACAACTCTTCCGTGGGAAAAACGTCGATGCTGCGCGAGTGGTTCCAGTGCTTGATGACCTTCATCGGCTGTGGGGCGAGAGGGGGCGAGAGGGGGGGCGTTTAAGGCTCTGCAACTGGAAAATCAGACTGGTGTCATGACTCAAAACTCATAACATCAGTCTTTGCCTTCACAAAAAGGTAACAAAAATTAAAAGATCGATCTATCATCACATTTTATCACCACATTTCCCTTTGGAGGAGACTTCCGTTCATCAAACGGTGAGCATGGCACCCACCGCCTTCCGCTCATCGCAAGACATGTTCTGGATGCTAATGGTCCAGGCCGTGGTGTTCAAAAGCCTGGCTTCTGGTGCTGATTTTCCTGGGGAAAACGCCAGCCCGGTGGACGTCTGGCTCCATACTGGATCTATACTGGATCTACTGGGTCCTACCATATCAAACTAAAGCATGGACATGAAATGATGGGTGTAGCCCTTGTGACAGCATGCCATAGCATGGCATGACTGAAAAAAACCAGTCAACTGAACTCAATATCCACCTGTCCGATTTAAGTCAGAGAAAGAGCCACATAACCCACCTGGTGGGGGGATGTGCTTTGAGCTCCTGCGTCAGCAACTGCCTGCCGATCGGCCCAGTGGTTCCATCCATCACACAACGTGCTGGTTGACTGGAAAGCATCATCCCCAATAGAGGTTACGTCACATACATTATTCATATGATAATAACAATAATAACACTAATGCTAACAATAATAGTAACTAAGAATAGAATATTCGTATGAAACACATGTTTCAAGCCACTAGGAGTAACACTAGCCACTGATTGCTCCCCTTTTTCAAGTCTTAGATACCTGACGCATAAATCCTTGGAGTTTGGCTTTACCAGGGCGGCACGATCTGCTGTTGATATCACAATCAGTTTGTCTTCACCGCAGATAACGAGGGAATATCATGGTACTAGTATATAATATAAACCCTTCAACATTTCCGGAAATTTCCGGTTGTGTGAAGGAACACGACCATTGACAATTCATAAGTGCCCCAATTTCCTCTGAATTTTGGGGATTAGTAATTACCACGTAGTACCATAATTACCCCCAAAAAAAATCCTTTGCCCTTACCCTCTGGTAATTTAATATAGCTATGGAACAATCCACCATTTTTGATGGGAAAATCCACTATTTCTATGGCCATTTTCAATAGCTATGTTAGTTTACCAGAGGGTAACAACCATTAAATCACATTAAATCCCATTAAACCACCATTTTCCTATGGTTTTCCCATGTCAATTTACCAGGCCGGGTAACAAATATCAAACACTTCTGAGATCCCCGATACCTCAGGGGCGGTGCAGGATACTTGTCGAAGGGCGGCTCCTTGGGGCCGAAGCCCACCTCAAAAGGAGCCCCGTAGCGAAGATGTGGAAATATGATCGAACCATGACTTGCTGTTTTCCTGGGAAAACCATAGGAAAATGGTGGTTTAATGGGATTTAATGTGATTTAATGGTTGTTACCCTCTGGTAAACATACAAAAAGCTATTGAAAATGGCCATAGAAATAGTGGATTTTCCCATGAAAAATGGTGGATCGTTCCATAGCTATGTAACAAATTACCAGAGGGTATACGTTTGAATTTTTGCAGATATATATATGATGAATTATGATGATATTAATGCAGATATGACATATGTGAAAGCGCCGTGTGAAAATATCTGCTGAGCTCTGCTCACATCTCACTGGATCTCGACCGAGATGACTGAGACGGACTGAGACCATCCCCAAGCCCAGCCACTTGGCTCCCACGCCATGGCCAAGCGGTTGATGCCTTTCAAAGTGCTCTCCAAAAAACCCTTGGAGTTGGGAGGATAATCCTGTTCAGTTGATGTAACAAATCATTATCATATCTGATAACAATACTATTACATAAGTATGCAATACTATACAGTATATTGGCTTCCAATTACCAGTGACCAGTGCTCGATTCTCAGTGACTCAGTGCTGGGTTCAGCATGCCAGCGTGTCAAACACATGCCCCCTGCAACCTTTTTAATGAATGGTCCTCTAGTTCCATTCCACTTGCCACCTTACTTCACGCATCTACAATTTTACAATCTATAGCAAAACTGGAACAAATGATCAAACCATTTCTTCATTTCATCTGAGGAATCCGCCTGCTACTGGGAGGATTCCTGGACTTTGAGGTTACTGTAATATACTGTAATCATGGTTAATCATTGTTAATTATTCTTTACTTTCATCATGGACCCTCAACATGGCTCTTGCTGGCAAGGGGCAATCCTTTCCAGCCTCAGGGTTGATGCGTGAGTCAAAGACGTACAATCTCCACGTATGCTTTCAAATATTCGTACGTAGAACGTGTAGAATAGGTAACATGCAACCGGGTTTTGCAGAAAATTCATTCCTACAATTCCAATTTCCGACAGAAATGTTGACATTCTTTGGACGAGCCCAACTCTCCATTTCCGTTTGGAGGGGGCAAAGCGGGTGAGAATCGAAAACGTTGGTAATGTCTACATCTGCAACCGGAATCCAAAGAAAACGTACGGCGCCGGTCAGATGTACCACAAGAAAACATGCATTGATCATCGTTGATCTCTGTTCAGGATCCCTCCACTCTGTGCCACAAATTTCTGCCAAAGTGCTTCTAAAGGAGGAAGGATCTGCCAGCTGTAGTTCATGCCTGTGCAGGGGAATTCAGTTTCACAGGTATGTGCCCCACAGTCCCTGTTTGGAAATATGTCTGTTTTGCAGCAGCTCGCTCTAGCTTCTAATACCTTTGCAGTATATTCAAAGTTATACCAAGTTCACTATGTCCTCGGCTTGCACACAGACACCTGTGCAAATCAAGCCAGTGACCTGGTGATCCCATACCGTTGCCCGCCCTTGTTGCCGCCTATGCGCCGTTGCCCAACGGTTCGCACATCCTCAATGTTGAGTGCTGGGTGGGGGTTCAATTTTAGTTCCATTTTACCTCCTCGATACCGAGTTCAGCCAGTTGTCTTGTATCAAATATAATTAACAGGATGGAAATAACCTTGAACAACAATATAGTAGATTATAGTAGAACCCAATGTATGTTCGACTTGGATCAACAGCATATTTGAAGATCTTAACAGGACGTGTCCCCTTTGAAAAGTGCCATGGTGCCCCATGGTTTTGCTACGTTCAGTAGCCACATCAAATCATAGAACCCTCTGTCGCACCCATGGGTTTCTGGCCACAAACATCTTCGTGAGAGTTGGTGCCCCGGTCGGTTTGTCAAAATTCTTGCAAACCTTTCCTTAGGAACCATTCAAGCAACACACGTGTCCTTGACTGTCACGGGAGGTTGGGTTTTTGAAACTCATGTAAATAAGTTTTCTTCAGCAATGGAAGTACAAAACACTAAAATATACCGGCATTGTTTGCAGGGTTTTGCATCAACCGTCAACCCTCAATATGGTTCACAGCCAACACAAAACAAACGCCCTGGCAGCATTGGAAAACCGATGTGTCTGTATGATCAGGGAAACACGATTCGGTGCCCATTCTTTTGGAATTTGTCGTGGAGATATCTTGGCGGCACCAGCACCTGGCAATGAACCTGTGGATATATTCGGTTGTGACTGGTGATTTAAGGTCATTTTGGTGCCCCTAAAACATCCCAACCAGGGCATTCACGAATCAACTCATCATTTGTATATCGGTTTCACTGAAAATGGGCATACCCCCAAAATATCCCAAAATGGCAGTTTTCATGGCGAATGCAATGAAAAATCGTTGGATTTGCACAGCAAACCGGGAGGTCTGCTTGGAACCTACCACTTGCTGTGCCCCCACAAAAATGTGCTGCAATGGCTGTGGGTCTGGGGGTCCGGCCCAAGGTCTCCTTGATTACGATATCTATATCGCCTGTGGGGTTTGAACGTTGGACTGACCTGGTTTGGGGCCTTCTATTTAATTTTATAAAGAATTGAATTTCTAGATATATTACGTTTGTGGTGGGTCAGAAATTTATTGTACTAATTGCGGTAGTACGATTTATATAATTTCTGTACGTTTTCATGATTTCTGTACAAGTCTCCAAAAAATGTTCGAATCAAACAAAAATGACCGTTTGCTGTCTTCATATGTCTTCATGACTGCTTGAAACTTAAGACGCAAAATGCGGACCTTTTGTGGTTGGGGTGCAGGAATTACGAATTTGCGATTCTTTGAAGCCCGAACCAAAAAAATACCGTTTTTCTGGGAGGAATTCTGAAAGTGTACCACTTTTAAAAATTGTGCACGAGATGCGCCGACCAAATTTGGCAGAAAGTGATTAAATTTTATTCGGACGTGTGATTTTCTGAATGTTTTCCGTATGTTTCTTTTAAGCTGAACGATTTCCCAATTTTGGCACGTTTTCTAAATTATAAATTGATGGTACGAAACTGGGGTCTACCACATTCTGAAGGTACGTATGGCGGTCCAGCTTTACATGCTATACAATGCTATACATATCTGTATGATATTGCATGCACCAAGGTGGTTCTGTCTTGGGTTGGAGGTATGTACCCCTTGGGGTCCTGGATTATGATTGGTGTTGGTACGCCTGCAATACATCCGAAAAAACATCAGTGTTTGATTCTGTGTTTAACGTAACTCCCAACAGCTCCCCATTGCGCTTGGTCTCTCTCTACTATCTAATATAATTAATTATTAAATGATATCAAATGAAAATTTCATGATGTTTAACGATATTAAATGATATTAAATGGAGCGTTTGCATAAATTTTGGTTTAAAGGTCAGGAAAACCAGTGGTCCCCACTTTCACCGGATACGCCTGAACTCAAGAAGTCGGTGTCAATCTCCCCGTAGATTAGGAGCACTCCGCTGACGACCTGGAGGCAAAAGGTGGGCCATCTGGTGTCATCTTGTGAAGCAGGATGGAAAAAAGGATGGAAAAGCAATCTTGAAACCACCAGCCCTGTATCAGGTAAATTGTGGTATCATCATCCCAGAGACAGGAAACACGAAGTGATATTGATATAAGATGATATAAGTATATAGAAGTGATGTAAATGACTGTGTTTCCAGACCCAGCAGAGTTGCTCAACTGATCTCAACTGTGCATCGGACCTCTTCAGTGCTGGTCACAGAACCTTCGTTGGCAATGCTGAAGTCGATGGCCTCACATGAACAAAATAGCCTCAGTTGTGACATTTGGAACCCCAAATCCCAAATCTAATGGTTCATCATACCAGTATATGGGTTTGTCTGAAAATAGTGTACCCCTACACCCAATGGTTAATGATCATTATCCCTACTAAATGGCTATAATTGGGGGTATACCCCATTTTCAGACATACCCATATTTCATCATATTTCAGCAACTTTGCAAACCCAAACAGTTTATGGCAAAATGTCAATCTGCTATGGGATTGCACGGGCTCATACCCAAGTGACCTTTGCAAATCCCACGTTCGGAACAGAGCCAGGGATCTCACAATGCTCACTGGAAGCTGAAAAATACCCCGAGTATGGCACTGATAATATAATAATAATACATGATATGTGTTGCTTCTTCATGCTTAATCTCCCCTTTTTCTTAGTCCGTGTGAAACCCAGTGGATTCTCCCCCCCATGCCATGGCCTCATCTTCGACTGCTGTGTCCTGCCAGTGTCCCAGCACTGTGCTTATCGAGGGGGTACCAGAGAGACTATGGACTCGATGGACATAACCTGATTTAACCGTTATTTAAAGTCGATTTGTTCAGAAATTCACAATGTCGATTTATGTCGATTTGGACACAAATTGAGCAATCAAGTAGCGATTGCGGAGCAATTATTGCGGCACTTAGGTACTAGATGGTACTAGGGTGTAATCTGTTCCGCTACCTGAAATTGTGGGCCCACCACCAATGAATACCACGTGGTTCTGAACGACCGGATATGTTATGTCCGTTCGGTAGGATTGTGGTAGATAGGAACTGTTGTTCATAGTTCCCTAGCCTTTGACTCCTTCTCCTGTGTGTTGCACTATTTCGCACTATGTTGCATTTGTCCTCCTATCTTACACCCCATGGTCTCACCTCGAGCAGTCAAGGGTTGCATGTGGGGAATTGTGATATATTATCATATGATAATCATATGAATCATATTGTGACAACCAATCGCTGCCTTCAAGCACCCAACCAGCCATGATCCACCAAACCCCTGGGACCCTCCAGGCATCCTCCGCATTCTGGGCTACGCAAGGTGAAACACACGCAATGAACACCACCAGAAAGGCGAGAAACCTTAGTCCAGCGGCAACACGGAAAGTGTGTGGCGCTATGGCCGTGAATGCATGATGATCATGATGCAAGCTTATCAAGATCCAAGGGTATCAAGATGCAACTGTATGAACCAGCCAAATGGGACTGTAGGAACTAGCCGACTAGCCCTCGAAAACACAGCAAGGAAGTACCACTGACTCAGGGATGGAGACACCATGGTATTCTTGGTACGTAGATGATATGCAGCAAACTTCCTTATCACCATCCCAGGAAACAGAAATCTGATTGAGTCTGCAACTTCACAAAGGGAGAGACCTGATCTTGTTGAGTTTGGCTAAAGTGCTAGGGATCCTGGAGTAGCTGTACAAAAAGGGACTTGGGTCAAGAGGTGGCTTATGATTGGAATGTTAAGAATCAAAAGGTAACATTTGAATTTGATACCACTACACCTGTGGAAAGAACGGACTGATGAAATGAGCGATCTATCATGATCTATCCATGTCTTTCGACATAACTACTTTCTGCGAACTCATTGGATTGGTTGGTCCAGCAGAGTTTGACTTTTGCAGGCCTATGCAGCAGCAAAACCTGGAGACAAGTTGAACACTCACCTATACTGAAAACAAAATGATACGATCATAAACAGACAAAACGTCAGCAAAAAAAAACATCAAAATGTTTCCCCAAATGAGACTCACAAGACCCCCCCACCTGCAATGGGCTCCGTCTTGTCTGCATCCTTGGAAAGGAGAATGCGCAAAGAGTTGGTCTATCTTCAACAGAAAACACCAGTTGGTTCCGGCCAAATTCCTGAGAACCAACAATCAGATACTCCTACATGGATTATGATAGTACCCTCTGGTAAACTGTTACATAACTATGGAACGATCCACCATTTTCAATGGGAAAATCCACGAACTAAACGGCCATTTCCAATAGCTATGTTAGTTTACCAGAGGGTAACCAAAAACATGGGATTTCCCCCAGTCCCGATGACCCGTGGAATCTCTCACCACCAGAACCACCAACCAGCATCTCAGTGACCCTTTTAGTCTTGGTCTCCAAACACCATTGCCGTGGCAAATGGCATAGGCCATCGGAAGAGTGCTATGATGCCATTGAGCCATGATTTTCTCATTCGCATCCATGACGTCCATTCGCATCCGGGGACCTGCTTCGATCTCATCCCTAGCTATATGAATTTGTGGCTGCGGATTATCAGCTGTCAGCTGTGAGAACATCATTCTCGGTGGCTACAGCCTCTTAGAACTAAGTGGGGTTGCTTGCGGCTTAGCCGCGCGCAACTTTGAGCCACAACGCCAGAGTAGGCAGGATCTTCAAGGCACACTCACCGAATGGCCAAATGGCTGACGAGGCTTGTTTCCAAACACACAAAACCCTAAAACCTAAATCTGACATGAAACCCTAAGCAAGCCTTGAAAGTAAAACCTTATTAAAACCGTGGTAAAACCCTAAAAACCCAAAAATGAAACCTTAGATAAATCCGAAACAAATCCCAAACAAACCCTAAACAAACCCTAAAGAATCGGTGACATGATAAACCTCTGGGCGGCACCCCCGGCCTGGGGGTATATATATATTATATATACTGTATATATATATGTGTATATATATAACGTATTTATGTATTGTATTATTATATATAATATAGAGATATATAGAGGATTATAGAGGATTATAGAGGATCCCTTCGGAAATAGAAAGCCCATTCTACATTTCGGCTACATGTTCACTGAAAAGCGTCTGCTGTCATGGAAACTGAGCATCACTGGCTTGTCAAAATCTCACTCATTCAATGAAGCCAAACCAACACCGACAGTGGAAAGAAAAGGGGTGTCTGTGCTGGTCTTTCAAATGCCCTAAACCTGACTAAAATATCTAACATGATGTGATCACTTAGTAACAACCCCCTTGAATGATCCTGAATGGGATCCCAAAATAATTCCATCACTAAACCACTGTTTCTCAAAGGAGTATTTATTAATTAAATGGGAAAGGGATGGCTACCCAAACGCGTGCGCAGGCGTCCAAACCCACACGTGTTCTGTTCTAGTGGATCTGTTACTCTTCTTATTCCACGAACATGCACGGCTGGAATCGCAGTCCCCCAAAGTGACCCTGGACTTTTGCCAGCGTCAAACGCGCGACTAGGCTGGGACTAGATGCAATTGGAGCTAGTTAGCTGATTTCTCACATCTGAAGAGATGTGTTTCACATTGTTTCGCTGTAGACATTTGTCAATTTTGATGTTTACTTGCAAATGTGTGTTCATACATAAAAAAAACATAAAATCAATACATAGAAGGATTCACCAGGATAACCAAGGAAAGATATCTATATACAAATGACATCAAATGACAACATTCATCTTTGCAGCCCAGGATTTCTGAAGCATTGCGCTCCATCACGCTCCACTCAGTCGCTCTTCTTCTCTGAGGCTTTCTCTGCTTTGCTGTCTTCCTGTTGTGTGATTTTTTCCGTCTCAACCAACTGCCAAAAGGGACAGCTGCAGAAAACACAAAACCATTTCTCACAACATCCACGACAAACATCTGCACCACTACTGATACTGTCAGATCACAGGTAGACTAGTGATGTCGCCATTCTCTGTACCCAAGAGCAACCTTGGGACTTAAATCTTGCAAATGATGTTGCAAGATGTTGCAAGAAGGGTCCAAGGCCTTTAGATGGTACTGTGAGATCTCACAGGATACCTAGATATCTATGCAGTTCTTGAAAGTGTACATATTTTGATAGTACTGTGATATAACCTGGTTGTACATGTGTTAGTAATATTAGATTATACATATTATACAATGTATGATAATTGTACATGTTTTAGTAATATATAATAGTAATATTAGATCATGAGACAATGATGGAAAACCACTCCATAACATGCCCCCCTTCGAATGATTTCTGTCCCCAACCTTGTCAAAGTTCAGGGGCCAAGGATCCATTGAGCCGCCGATGGAGTACAGCACCTGGATCCGAAAAAACACCCGGGCAGTGTCACTGTCCGATCTTTTGGCATGACTGACATGACCCAAACATACCCAAACCCAGTTCATAATCAACTAGACTGTGAACATCAGGAAAACTAGGGTCTATGGATGTCTATGGTATCTACTTTATGAGACACCCAGGTGAAGTCACCATCATGGAGCGATTTCGGCCTCTGTCGGTGACAACCAACGGTGTGAAACAATAAATAACAAACAATCTGTTTGCAACAAGTCCTCCAAAACTGCTAAAAATCCGGACATTGCATCAAGTTCCTGAAACTATGCGGGCACCAGCATCGAACTCATGGCAAAGAGATTAGCGTTGAACTGGCGTGGCAAACAGCTGACATCTTCGAGCTTCCACCATTCCACTGGTATGGAGGGTTCTCAGCCCTTAAGAAAGATCTTAGGGCTGTCACTGCCATTAATTGTAGTTTGCTGGGCACCATGCGGTGCTTCCTAAAATGTAACCATCTCTAAATGCAGATCCTGCCAAGCCACAGCCCCAATCAAGATGAAGATCACCTTGGGAAGGAAGTGCGAGACGATGTGAGTGTGTTTCATCTCAACAAATGATTGCTGTTCTATGATGTTATTTGATATTATGTGATGGTTATTTGATGTTATTTGGTAGTGGACCGTAGTCGTTGGATACTCCTGGCCCAAGGAACATACACTGCTGTCACATCAAGTCTGGACCTAAATGGCCAACAGGATCTCTGCAAGGCACAGCCAGAAACTGGTACTCTGTGAGCCCAAAAAGGTAGTCGCTGGGTGGATGCCTCACACCGCTTGGTCGTGGCATCCCGCAGTTTGCCGAACAAAAAATGATTTCCACCGGCCGAACTTCTTGCCCGGTGGGAATGGCTAGCACCTTTGCTTATTTTTGTTGGTCGTCCGGGATGAACAGTGAAAAACACATTGGAAACCTCCCATCCTGGCAGCACCTTCGAAAGGGTTCGATGACCATCCGTTCCAAGCCATAAAGCGAGAGAGTCAGGGCGCTGCGAACGCCTGGGTTTTCTTGGACACACCAATGCTTGGGGATATTTATGACATTTGTTTCCCCATTTCATGATTTGGCTCGACTCTCTTTCCCTCTCTCTATCTCTCTTTCTATAATTATATCATTCCGTCATATTTCTATGATCTTCTGCCTTATGCTGCATTCAATAGATTCAGTGACAAGTTTATATAAGAATGTAATGTGCATGCATGTGCATATTATGTGTATATATATAATATATATGTACATATACATCTCTCTCTCTCTCTCTTCCTCTGTATCTGCATGTGTATACAAATGTGTATATATATATACACTATCTATATATATATATATGTATACACATATACACACACTATATATGTATATATATATGTACACTGCATCTGCTGTATTACCACATGCTACCTCCATTTTGGAATTCAGCACTGGCAAGGGGGATCGGAAAAAAACAGCGATTTGCTGCCTACTCGTCGTTTGTTTCCGCCCGTCACCGGGAGAAAAACCAGGAAGTGCAGCAGCAAGAAGAGCACCTAAAACAGGCAAGCAGGCGATAGTTATTGTAATAGCCGTTGTCATAAGAATAAGAATAGTAGTGACAATAATGAGAACAATATAAGCAAGTGAACTATAGTAGATTAGTAGTGACAATGATAGCAAGACTGGAAGAATAATTCGCGAGAATATTAAGGACAATGATGATATGAGAATCCTAATCATAAATGGTATCCGGTATGTCGTCAACTTTGGCTTATAACATTATACAATTATCCCCAACGAATCAGGTAGATTGATAACCGACCAAAATCACAAATTAACAGGGGTGTGTTTAATTGCTCAAATGTCTGGCTTTGGTTACCGTGGGATCGAAAAAACTGTCAAAAACGGAAAGAAGAGTCGTTCTGTGGGAAATGACATGGTGACTTGAAGGCATTGAAGGTAAATGGGTAAATGTAAGTCTTGAGGATTTGTGCAATAAGTAAACAAATACAAACATAAATACAAAACAGTGTATATGTGTATATATATATATATATGTATATATATATAGAGAGATTCGCGGAATGATGAGCCATGGTTTGCCCATCAAGATTGCGTGGTCTGCCCTTTGTGACGGTGCAGACTATCAATGGGGGGATTTTCCAGCCATGTTTGATTACCAGAGAGTACCCTCTGGTAAACTGTTACAGAACTATGGAAAATGGAAAGATCCACCATTTCTGATGGGAAAACTCACTATTTCTATGGCCATTTTCAATAGCTATGTTAGTTTACCAGAGAGTAAACATCCAACATGTTGGAATATGATGGAAACTTTTGGAACCACCAATCCCTTTGAGTTCCGTGGTCAGCTGCAGCACCAATATGAGTTCCGCACCATGGAGAGGGTAGCCTCATACAACGGCGTCGGATGAACGGCAGTTCTCCTTGGCCCAGAGAAGCAGAACATGCATGAAAATGCTGCCATCATCTACCATCTAGGTCGGAAATAAAAAAGGATGCGCTGTTAGTCTTCGCATGGATTGAGAACATCTAAGAGACATGATAACCTGATAAGCATGGTCACATCATGCATCTCTCCATATTCTTCAGGACAAAGAATCTTCCAAAATCTTTCAACTAGATATATATGTATACATATATATATATATATCTATTACATAATATTGTGTATCTATAACTATGATTCTGTGTATATACTATACTATATATATACGTATATATATATATATGGTACCCCCAAAAAAAAACCGACGTTTTTGAGGTCGCAATGCTTTTGGGACAAATTACCCTGTTCAGTTTGAGTTCCAGTGGGGGGTATATTATATATATACAATTATATACATATGTGTGTATTAATTGTTGTCTTACTGTTGAAACCAAGTACTTAGAGCAATTTTGTCAGCAGAAGCGCTTGCAAACGAGTCCAGGGGCCCAAGTACTTTCAGGATTCAAGATTCAAGATTCAAAAAAAACTTCTTGAATCCAGAAACTCTTAGCCCCGGGATTCAAGACGTATTTTTTGGCTCTTGAATCTTGAATCCTGATCAGCAGAGTTTCTGGATTCAAGAAGTTTTTTGTTGAATCTTGAATCCTGAGCCAGTCTCGTTTGCAAACGTTTGCAAACGCTTTTGGTGACAAAATTGCTCTAAGTACCTACCATTTTTAGCTTTTTGTTGATGTCAAAGAGGTAGTATTTGTTGGGAACCTTTTGCAAAAACAAAGTAAGCACACTATTACTTTCAAAAAAAATGAGCATATGCTGAGGTCAGAAAGCACATCATTTCTTGAAGGAAGCAATCTGTTTTAAATTGCAGCGTTCCCTTGCATGCTTGAAAAAAAACACCTTCATTCATAAACTGCAATTTTCCTTCCAAACAAAGTATGACTTCGTTCAAGAAACAGTACCCCTACAAAAAATAGAGCACTTTCTGAAGAAGTGCAGTCTTCCTTTCAAACTAATATTAAGCCGTCCTTCAATCATACAGTATTTCTTTCAAAACACCAGATTCTAACATGTTGGATATGTCTGTCTTTTTGATGCACCAGAGTAAGAACAATATCTTGATCAGCATTTTTTTAAATATACAATGAATATAGCTTCATTATAGATTCCATATACTCTCATATCCCAGTTTATTGACCATAAACATATCTTTAATAAACCTTTAGTAAACCTTTGGCATACCTTCAGTATCCCTTTTTGAATACAATCTAAAAAAAACTTTACTATACCATTCAATATACCTGTAGCATTCCATTGGATGACGATGAAACTACCTTTAGCATACAATTTAGTTGGCCTTGAAAATACCTGTAGTATACTTTAAATATACCTTCAATGCATAAAACTTCACTACACGCTTTAATCTATATACCTTAGATATGCCATTGAATCTACCTTAAATATACAATTTTATTGGCCATGCAAACATCTTTAATGCACCTTTAGGATACCTCCCTACCTCTAGAATACCTTTTATTTTCCATTTGATTTATCTTTAATAAACCTTTAATATACCATCTATACTTAGTTTACCATTTAAGAATCGGTAATATTCCATTTGATATACCATTAATATATTATTAAAAATATCGTTTACTATACTTTAATATACCTTGAAGGTATATACTTTAACATACCATTTAATTGACCTCTAAAATACCTTTTACTTACCATTTAGTTTGTCTTTAATCAACCTTTAATATACAATCTATACTTGGTTTACCATGTAAGAATCATCAATATTCCATTTGATATACCATTACTATATGATTTAATATGCGTTTAGCATACCATTTTATATACCATGATTCTACCTCTAATGTACCATTTAATTGACTTTGAAAATACCTTTAATATACCTTTAGTATACCATCTAATACACCTCTAATATACCATTTAACATACCTGTAGTATACCTGTGATATTCCAGTCTGGCCATGAATATATATAATATAATATAATATAACATAATATAATATAATATATATATACATCTTTAGTATATCTTTAAAATACCGTGTGTTTACCACCTGTTTGCTTTTAATATACCTTGAATATACCATTGCCAACTCTCAAAAACGTCCGTTTTGGGGGGGCTAGCATATATATATATATATATATTTGTAATTAATTATATATATACAGCACATTCTTTGGCAAAACTTGTCTTTTTCGTGTGACTGGAGTTGACCCAGTATGCATGGATGCATTGATGGCTCTCAGCATCAAGGCCCGCACGTTGGAACTAGTCCGTTTGGGAAGGCCACTGCCTGCAACCCGATTCCCATTACCAACAATGATTGGGCGCTCTTCCCCTGACCTTCTGAAGAGATTTGATCTTGTCTCATCATCTGTAATTAAACCCAACTATTGCTTATAGACATTATAGATGACAGATGATTACAGTAAATGAGGTGAGATGCAACTGCAAGGGAGTCTTGCATCCTAGTTGCGAACTGCCAGGCTGTTGCGACTGCCAGCCAAACCATCAACTCTAAGAAATTTGAAGACATGGTATCAGCTAGAATGTGTAATTATCAGCAGTGCACCTCAACAAGGGGTCATTTCACAGATTCTAAGTCAAAAGAAAAGCTCCGCCTGGAGGTACCGATTGAATCTGACCCACATCCTGAATCTTCACCTGTGTCCTGTGTTTTCCTGTGACGCTGAAAAACACCCCTTCGAATGGTGAAATGCTTCCTGAGATTTCCTGAGTGTGGCAAGAATCTCTATAGTGATGTAGGTGTCTTCAAACGGGCTGCCCAGTTGATTTTCATCATCACAAAAAGCGCACCCATGAGACGTCGCTGGGTGGCCCATAGCAGCCATCGCCCGACCTCGAGGCTTTCATGGGAACAAAGCCTGAAACAAACGATGAAAGCCGAAAGCTTCGTTGGTAGTTCAAGCTATGCCAAAATAGGAATATGGGAGGGATACCATATAATATCATACGTATAATTAATGGGACTATAAATTTATAATATGAGATAATCAATGGGATATTAAAAAAAAAACATATCGGATATTGGATACTTCGTCATAGATATTTTGCCAATGAGAAAATCAGAGATGGATCGCTATGCTCCAGGCAAAAAGCAGCCGATCTTGCCAACCGCATGGCCTGCGGTGCATTCCCTCGATTCTGGGGGGTTCCTGAAAAATCCTGAAAATGGGGGTACCCCAATAGCTGGATGGTTTATAAGGGAAAATCCCATCTATCAATGGATGATTTGGGGGTACCCCTAATTGAGGAAACCTCCAATATGATTCTCCTAATACTGGCAAGACGCAGCCATAGGAGTGGATTTTCCTGATTTTCACAATCAGAACTTCGATGAATTTCGTTCAATCGGGGCCCTTCTTTTACAGCACCACCTGTTTGTGGATGTTTGACTGTTTTTGTAGACGGTTTGGGTTCCCTCTTCTTTGCATTTTTCTTCGGGAAAGTTGTTGAGCTTTTTTTTTTTCCACCCATCCGCCATCGCACTCCCGCCTAGGGGCACTAGTGGAGTGATAATGTCCAGCAATGGCATAGGCCTGCAAGGTCAAATTTCTCACTGAAAACCAATCTGGTTTGGACCTGGATTTCCACCTGACAACTCGGAAGCGATGCCTTAGGCCGCACCAATAGCCATAAGCAGCGGCCGTCAAGAGGCCCCCAACAGCAGAGCCCATGAAACTATGGCCTCGTGGGAAAGCTCTGATTGGAGACTGGTTTCCAGTGGTTTCTGGAGTTGGAAAATGGGATGTGGGGATGGCCTGGAAGGTTATGTTGTTTTCACTGATTGAACTGGGATGAGTTCACCTTTTTCGATGCCGCAATAGTTTCAGGATAGGCCTTCTGGCTTCTCTGCTGGCCGTGCAATGCATGTTGAAATTCAACGGTCTGGATTTGCTTGAAATGCTTGGATTTCCCATGATTTCAACGATCCATCATGTTTCAAAAACATAAAAATACTTCTGGCATCTTCTGGCGGTCGTCTGCAGCACTGCAGAGATATCATGGTAGGCGTCATAATTGCAAAAACACCGAACAGGCGGGGATATATTTTGGTCCCGTAGGTCATTTGATAAACCCATGCGGCCCGACCTGTTTCAAGCGACATGTTGGGCACGGAGCCACCAACTGCCAAAGCCGAGACGAGAAGGTGCACCTGGTGCGGCCAGGAAAATGACCACCGAGATTCAACGGGGCTGGGGCGGGGAAGACACTGTCTAGAAAGCAACTTATATAAGATATATAAGCGACACGTAGATTGCAGACTTTATATTCTGCGGGTTGTCCAAACAAACAATTTAGTATAATTTAGCAATTTAGGGAGAAACATGCAGCACACCTGAAGTCACTATCGCGATCCGTGTTAACTTCAACATCCTCGGGAAGTCATCGCCACCAGGAGCTACAAGGACAGGGCCATTTTGCTTCTATTCTACTACGATCTAAGGAAATCAATGGAAGTAATGTCCAATGATTGCCTTCGTAATCAAAAGAAGTGCATCAAATATCATCAAACGCTTCGGACACGCGATCACTTGGAAGCGGCAAAACAGAAGTGTTGCACTCAAAAAAACACCATGCAAATGAGCTGGCGGTTTCTACATCTACATCAAAACAAGACCATCATACCTGATTAGATTCATCAAAGCCAGTAGTGGTGGAGAATATAACTGTCATATACATATCATATCTAATCTTCCTATCATCCAAAGATTCCCCTTTCTCAATGGCAGCACCACGATCGTTTTCATGAAACAACACAATCACATCAAGATGGGTCAACAGCAGAATGTTGGAGCCCTCAAAAAATATCCCATCATTGAGCATCTTAAAACTCCGGTGATCCTCCAAGTGGTTGAACCGCACCTTGGATCCTATGCCAAAGCCTGGGATAAAGGCCAGCATCATCAGGGCCTTGTTTCACAGCTGGGAGAATTTCAGGGCGATATGATTCAGAGACAACAAACAAAAATGACCAGGAGTCAGTTTCTTGGGATATCTGCATATTCCCATGTCAGTTTTCCCTTGCTTGGGTGTATATGATAGTACGGTATCTCAGTATCTCCAATATTACGGCCATAAGAAAAATGGCAAAATATGAGGAAAGAATCATCTCAAGATATCTCAAGTGAATGGGAATGATTGGTGGCTGAGCCACCTCCCAAAAAAAAGGATACGAGTGAGACTTCATCGTCTCAAGCGGAAAAGTGTGAGGACTTGACCAGTATCACCGCAAGGGCTTGGGGCGATCCTTTTGAACTTTCTGTCCCATCATACCCCTGACCCTTCCAAACGTGACATGCCTGGGTGCCTTTTGATGGTACTGGCAATATAGGTTATTCTCAAGACCTCATATCTCCTGACAATGCCTATATGTTTCATGAATTTCCATAGTCATTTGGCAGTCTGCAAGCTGCTCTTACCATTTTTTATCCAAATAAACCTGCGAACAGCAACTCGAAGACTCCCCGGTTGCTTACTTTACTCAGATATACCCAGATAATCTGCCATAACATCCCTCCCAGTCAATCCCCTGGTGAGGGCTTACCCCATCTGCCGGGATCTTCAATCTTCGCAACTCAGACTCGACTACCACCTCAGCAAGCTGCCATGAATGCCCTAATCGCTACCCAAAAGCTGAAGGAGCAGAAACCTAAACTAGATCCAAGAACCGGCAATGTGAGCCAACATGTATCTGTATACCGCTATTCTCGGTGTTTACCAAGACGCGCCCCAGTGCAACATAATAAAAGGACAAAGCACAATGACTTCTACAACTTTCAAACCTGCATGTCCCCAAAAAAACAAAAAATGTTTTCTAAATCACAAGTTTCAAGTAAAATTACCATTTCTCCAACTTCTCTGTAGCAACTCCAGGAGTTTGCGTCAGGTTCCCACACCACGCAGGAGGCCAAAGCCGCGGCAATGAACAGGCCATAGGTGTAAACCTGGAAATCGTCGGATTTCGTGGGAAAACAACAGGATTTTCAAGCGGATAAAGACATTGAGGTAATTCGATCAAGACAGATAGTGTTCTCTCAAACCGGTATTCCAAGATAGACTGATTTCTAGCCACTTCTTGAATTGTCAAATTCTTCGACCTCACGGTGCTCCCAGTCCTGTACCCATGTTTCACATATTTTCACATATTGTGTACAAACAACATGGTCCTGAGAGGGATGTTTGCAGGTAAAATCCCTGATTCATCACCCAACGTTTAGAATTTTAGAACAAAAGTGCTGTTCACACGTTGGCCATAGCAGAGCTGTGAATCCCAAGTGGTCATATTCTGCTAATATCATTCAACTTCAACTTGAGATTGGCTACATTTTTTCGGTGACTTCACCATCCCAAGGACGCCTTGAAGCCCATGGGCAGGGTAAAAAGCACTGGATTCACAAAGCCTTGGTTCCAGAGCGTCCAGAGCGTGGTGTACCCTCTGACCGGCCCCATCTGAACCTGTTCATCCATGACAATGTTGTCCAAAGAAGTTGCAGTTGAAACATGAAAACATCGAGCTGTTTGTTGTACCACACAGCACCTTCCAATACTTGTTCAGCGAGGAAACGGATGCCACTTCAATGCGAAACTTCAGATGAAATCAACCTCGAGCGTTAAGAACCAACAAAAATCTAACCAATCTAACCATCTGGGGCCTCAGACTCAACATCCTAGTTGTCTCCAACAAACATCAAATTTGTGCAACAGCTTTGGGTATACACACAGGGGGTTCTCCACTGCCTTCATGCGAAACATTTGCCATTTCAGCTGGGTAACTTGCCACCAAGACCATGATCAGGCCCTGTTATACTGAGTCGGTCAAAGTCGCTTGGCAGTGTGAAAGCAAACACGCATTTTCTGTATTTTGTTGTTCCTCTGTTCCTCTTTTGTTTTTTTCCGGTGAGAGCCCTTTGCCTTTGCCAACGGTTCGCTACTTCAAGCCTATTTGTGTGACATAGCCTGCTTTTCGTACGGCGTACTCAAGACTTGCTACACACTACATAGCTTCACATTGGAAGAAAACAGTGTTGTACATGAAATTCAAATTGGTCAAAGCGCCCCTTCGTTCCACTGCAGTTCTACAATTGAAGCATCACAGGCTTCAAAGGCCTGCTTAAAGAGAATGACAGGCACGGTGTTGGTGAATCCCGACCATGTATTCATACAACTTGTAAATGGGTGCAGAAAACACATACAAAATAAATGTAAATTATGTATAATATATGTACATCACTATGTAACTAATTGTTGAATATATGCGTCCACTTGTTCGGAACTTACGGAGAACGAAATTATGGGGTCACTTGTGAGTGACCAGGTCGTGTACTCCTGAAGTCATGTGGTGAGATGACAGCAACCAAGTCAAACAACGTGTTCGTTTGCTTCTCATGAGGCTTCTGGCCGCCCTTCCCGCCCCTTACAACACACTTTAGGCCATACCTTTTCTGCCGTCCCCAAAATGACCCCAGTTTCATCTACAAACGAAACTCGAGTCACAACAGAATGAAAAGAAATTGACAAAATCGTCTCTTTGTGCCATGCTTGCGGGTGGAGTTTTGGCAAACAAACAGCAAAAGACTGCACAACCAGTACTTCAGAAAGAAACCAAACATAAAGAATTTGTTTTATCTAAGTGAAATCAAACGGGTATATCGTAGATCTTTGTTCTATTTATGTCCACACCCAAACCAGCTGGCAGGGCAAGCATCATAATAACATATAAAAACGCAGTTTGGACAACAACAAACATGTTTTGGTGGTCATAATGGCTCTATGATATGCTTCTGATATTTTCGGAGAGTCTCGCAAACAACTCCTTGAAAGCCTCCATCAAATGCTGGACCTGAGTTGTAAAACCTGTCCATATTGGATCATCAACATGCAATATTGTTCACGGCGGTTGTCGATAGCATACCCACATTGACTGAATTTGTGGCAATTTGAATGGTTTCGAGGGTCAAGCGTCCCTAAAAAAAAACGGTTAAACGCTGGGTGCTCTACACCAGGCCTCCCGCCGCACTGATTTTGTTCTTTGCTCAAGACGCTTTGTGCGACTTAAAACATTGCCTCCATCAAGGAGGGGTGCAATGTGCAAGCTTCGCAAGCTTATCTTGCGAGGGAACTTGTAACGCATTGCGGCTCTCCCAGCAAATTCTCCCACGTTGAGATGGCAAAAAGGAACGAAGGTCACAACTCTCAATCTTGACTCCCTGCTCAGCAGCTAAGGCTGATTCAAGAAACGAGTCTGGATTTTTTACGTCTCGATAATCTCGAGGTCTGGGTGTGGTTGGAATTTTAAGTTTAACAGCTGCACTGGCAATCTATCTTGATTCTTTGTTTCAAGTACGGGTATCCAAGTTGCCGTCAATGTTGCAGCCCATGAATGTACTCGACAAGCATGTTGAGATGGGCAAAAATCCAGGTAGACATAGAAATCCGTGCAAACTCTGTGCGTTTGAATCTGTAGTTTTGTGTGATGTTTTGTCATAAATGCAAGTTCAAAGCCAGATCAAGGGTGAGCAAACAGCCCAAGACTAATCTCAAGATTTCAAGTTCAACACGGCAATACCTTGCAATACCAGTATTTCGCAGCCTACCATTCCAGCAACTTCAAACCGTGCTTTGAAACCACAGGTCTGCCTTCACGCGGAACGATCGCAAGTGCATCACTGGTCTAGAAAATGGCAAAAACAAACCAGCTGCATTAACCGGAACACAAATTAACCAACTGACTGAGAAAGAGTGGTGCAACATATGGGTATATATATATATATATTTGTGTCCATATCCTATTTCTATCTGAAAAATGGACAAATCTCCAACTGTGACGCTATCCATCAGTTTTCTGTGACATCTGGGAAATTTGCGGCAGAAAGCTCGGCTGCGGAGCTGGTTAAACTGGATTGGACCAGCCTGGCAACCGTGGAGATATCGCAACACGCCGCCCAGCAGCATTTGGTCCACTATGGGACAGGTGAGTCAGTAACAAGGGGTCAAGGATATAAGGATGGTACAGGTCTTGCATTCAGTGCCGTCCTCGGCGACAACGCAAAGCACACGTGCGGGCAGGTACAATGGGCGATGTCCTCCTGTCCGGATGTGGTACTCTTTTGTCTCTGAATCAAGAGATTAAAAATATAAGCGTTGATTCATGATGATTCATTCCTATATGTAGTATATCATAAATATGATCATACATTTACTTTATGTTTCTTGAGCTATGATATAAAATGATATAACATGATATAAACATGTTTGAAAGATGTTTCTAAAGGACGCAGCTTTTCAAGTGGCCCAGGTAGCGCAGGACTGAGGCATCAGCTCTAGGACTGCGACAAAATCCAGGCGCAAACCTTGGGTGATTTTGGTACACCATGGCTCTCCAGAGACACCACGAACGGAATATTTTGGACCCTGGATCCGTCGTTAAAAAAAAAAGCCCCAGCTTGCTTTATTTTTGAAACCACCACCATGAGAACAAAAAAAGCCAAGAGGCGCAGGTAATGTCGTCCATCTTGCCGCCAGTGTGGTATAATCCAGCCTGGTGCAAGGGAATTTATATGGAAAATGCTGCGGACGATCTCCTATTTTTTTTTTTAAACAGTCGACTCACTCATAGATTTTAAGAACAAATCAATTTAAATGATGCTCACCAAGCAGTGACAAAAATGCATTGGCTTTGCAATCTAGCACCTCTACATTTTTCGGATACGTGGATTCCCGGTCCGGTGGAGACATTGAGCTTCGCTGAAATTTCCAGAGGTCAAAAGTGGAAAATGCAATCCCTCAAAGTGATTTGTGGAGGAAAGCCGCGAATCTCCCCAGACAACAAAACACAAATCTGTAGCTGAGCACTAGCCACAAGGATCTGTTTATCAAGCAGACAAAAAAACATCAAACATGGATCAAAAAGCCACTCTGGTAAACCCCTTAAAATAGCTGGCACTAGCTAATGTTAAATATATGTTAAATGCATGAGTTTTCCGATGTTCATCCAGTTCATCCAGTTCATCCCCTCCGTTGGTCCATCCCCACGTCACCGTTGGTCCAACCTGGCGTGCGTGCTCCGAGAATGGCGACCTACAGTCGCGGCGCGCAGCGCCCTGCTCCATGGAGTCCCAAGACTCACTGCTCCCAGGAATTGGAAGGATGCGAAGTTGGGGCAAATACACCCATCATGATTGTGATAAATGGAATTAAGTGGATGATTAATGATGGTTAATGATGGTTATCACATGACAATACCCCCATTAAATGATGATTAATGATGGTTAATGATGATTAATGATGGTTAATGATGGTTATCACATGACATGTTATCACGAGTAAACTATAGTAAACTCACATGATCCATGCCACAATCATACTAACCGAGGGGCTTTGCGAGGCGATCCAAGGAGCGATGGAACGCAGCCTGGCAACTGGTGCTGGCACTTAAATTTGACGCTTTTGATGACACTTAAATATATTCAAATATGATCAAATATGTTCATTCAATCAAGACTTTGCGAATGTTCACTAGAAATGGGATGAAAAAAGAAACGGGACCCTTTTCTGGATGGGAAACAAATCGGTCGGTTCTCAAGCAGGTGCTGAAATCTCTGGCGCTTGGAGGTGGAACATGGTGGAACTACACCCCATGTCACCACTGGCGGACGCCCAGACCTTTGCAACAGCCTGTGCGATCTGTGCCTTGGAATCCACAATTGTTGACACCAGATATATCAACAAATTAACATCAATTAACATGTCGGTACCACTTCACATGGTAACATTTGGCACCACTTCACTAAACCATTGGGACCTACTTTGTCCGCAGCCAGGTGAAGCTCTGGCAGATGGGACATTGCTTGGCTCGTCTTGGCTCCCGAGCAGCCTCCGTGATGTGACCTGAAGCACCCCCCAACTTCTCGATGAAACTATGATTTAACACTTTCTAGAACACACCAGAATAATTACACATAGATCTACATAGAAATTCGTAAGGATTGGGGCTGCTGAGGAAGCCCACAGGGTCATTTGAGATCTGAGGCAAGCCATAGGGTCCCTCCTACCCTTCTGCTTGCATCTGTTCCCAGACAATTTCCTTGAGGTCCCCCACAAGCGTCTGCCTCTAAGGGACCAACGGCCGCACCGGCCAGCTCACAAATCTGAGGCGTTGGTACGGCTTGGTGTGAAGACTTGAAAAATCCCACAAGATTGGTCTTAAGTCTTAAGTGGTCTTAAGTGGTCTTAAGTGGTCTTAAGTTTCTAGAAATTTATGTGTTCAACATGATTCAAGCGACCAGTGACCACAACCCAACCATTTTGGATTTTGGATCAGTTGGTTTTACCTGGCAGGCGCCGGTCCCGCAGAGTTGAACTCTGAGCTCAGCATGTAAATGCGCAGTACTGTGTAATTACATACACATGTAATTATAGAACATAGAAAAATACAATAAAGTACATATCATATCTATAGTATATCTATAATATATCTATATTGTGAAACATATCTGAAAATATTGTGAAACAAAGGAGCAACAACTCGCAGCCGACGTTGTCCTTTTCTTTTGTGGGTCAATGTTTCTCGTGCCTCATCCACGTAGAGATTGTCAAAGACGCCATCTGTTCCTGGGAGCTGAAAACCCATGGGAAACTCCCCGAATGTCACCATATATATAATGATATATGTATATAATTCTGCGGTTTATATTAACAATAGAAAATATAATATAATAATTATAATATAATATAATATAATATTATATTATATTATATCATATTATATTAATTTATATTACATACTTCTGAGAGGTGCATGGTTCACGGAGGAAAAACGATGTCAATCCTCGAGTCAATGCCTGCCAGATGCTCATCCCCAACTGAGGCTGGAGGCCAAGGACCAACAGGTCTCCCTCCTGTACGTGTAAGTCAAAAAGGTCTGCATCCTCGGCGCTGACTGATGGGAACAAATCCCGGGCGGCCCTGCACCGAGTTCGGACATCATTTATTGGAATCTGAACCATCTATAAAAATATGTTAATCTCACCAGATACAGATCCCAAACCCATCAGGACGTTTTCTGTCTCCTGCAGTGCTACGAGCACTGCGTACTTCGTGATGAAATTGGCCAACTTCGAGGTCCCCAGAGTCCCCAGAGTGACAGTGTACTGACCAATTTATCTTCAATGTTTGTCCAAGCCAGGACGAAACCTCTGGCTCGGTGAATTGCCAATGAAAAGTGTGATCCACGTGATCCAAATCATGGGAGTTCATGGGTTTCCATGGGAAGCTGGCAGCTGCTGTGCTCCCAAACGTATGGGCAGTCAGTTTTGGACTTGGGGCGACGTTCCATGGCGCGGACCAGCTTCTCCTTTAAATGGCAATCCAGCAGCAGCAGGTACAATATGGTACCCTCTGGTAAACTGTTACATAACTATGAAAATCACAATTTTTAATGGGAAAACTCACTATAAATGGCCATTTTCAATAGCTATGTTAAATTACCAGAGCGTAAAATATCCATTTCATTCAATTTCCAGAGTAGCAAACAAGTTCCACAGTGAAAGGGTTGTTCACTCATTCACCTTTGATCTCATGAATTTACGGCCGTTACAGGCCACCATCTTCGCCAGTGCTTCAGTCCAGCACTGGGCCACTCGCGCCTTTCCCTCCTCGAGCAAGGCTGGAAAATCTTCTGGTTGAGGCAATAGAGAAAGTTGGTACCTGGTTTCAATAGGGAAAAACATGGAAAAACCTAACCCCAGGGTGAAGAAGAACATCTGATTTAAGCACCAGCTAAAAAATCCTAGGTGGTATAAGTATCCAAACATATCCAGTTTCGCATCATCTGCTTTGAGATGACCAGCCGAGAGGAGCACGGACAGTTGAAGGCGTGTTGCTGCTCACGCGTGCGCGCAAGGCACTGGAAGCCACTCATCGGATCCACCTGAAGCACGTCACATTTTTTTGCTGAAGAGCTCCTGGAAATGAAAAAAAACATTTGGGTGTGTCTGAAAATGTTGTGTACCCCTAAACCCAATGGTTTTGCTGATCATTATCCCTATTAAATGGCTATTTCATTGGGAATATACCCTATTTTCAGACAAACCCAAGTGATGCCTAAGTGATCCTGAGTGCATCCACAGTGCATCACCAATCCAACCCGCTTGTACAGGCTGGAACCATCTGCACCTCCTTACGACGCAAGAGAAGAAGAGCCTGCCATGGGAGTCGATGCCTTCAAATTTCAATGGGATATGTTAAATATGTTGATAAATTGTGTTGACATTACGAACAAGTAGCGACACTCAGCAACAGGACTTGGTTGGGAGGCCTTTGGAGGTGGGGTAAAGGAATGGTCAAACCAATGGTTAGGCTACTAGTATGGACCAGTCTGGACACGTATGGACCGAATCGATCAACACGTGGATGGCAAAACTGATCAAAAAACATCATAACCAGGTCCCTCATGGTCCTTCCATTTTCCAATGAGACGTTTGGATCAAAAATGATCAAAATGGAAGTTGGACAAAGGCCACGCTACAATCGAGGATGATATGCAATATTACGCAATGCTTGTTGCTGCAAGATGTTCCAAATATGTACTGTAAACAAAATGTTTCGTTGTAGTGAAACGATCCTGTTTTAAAGTATAGAACTTTGTCTATAAAAATATATTGGTCATTACTCATTGCGGGTGATTTGTCTCCTTTGACAGCATCCAACCCTATCATGATTGATGAATTGTCACCTGTGTTACAGGAAATCTTATTAGACTTGAGGACATAGGTAATGTCGTTGATGTTGAATTGATCCAAAAGACTCTAAAAGTGTATCTCCTTTTTTCCAGGAAAAATGGCATCGGTGCCTTTTCGCATGGCACTTAAAGGATCTTAAAGGTATTTCTCATATACTTCTTGCGTATGGAAATTGAGAGAACGTTGTGTGTGTGTATCTCTGGTTTGTTGGCCCCACCCAACCCCAGGGTCAGAGGGCACATAGTTCTGTAGAAATTCTCTAGATAAATATACTATATACTAATACATGGATTTACAATGATTTACATGGATTCACATGGTATTAGATTCACACTCAATGACTTTTCAGCACCGTGCCCCCTCTGTGAACTCCGCGAAAAAAAAACAAAAACAACGCCGGCAGGACAGAATCGCCCAAATTTGCAACACCCAAATGACCAGACCTGGCGTGGTTGGGACCTGTGATGGTTGGTGCTTGGGCCCTCTGAAAATTTAACGTGTGGAATGCTATGGAAAATCACATTTTTTTTAAGTTCAGTAAATCATCATGTTTATCATCTATAAATGAGCCATGATGGGCCATGATCCAGACCTATGTTGAATAACCCGAGGATACCAGAGGGTACAGTACATGAAAGTTCTTTGGGCATCATCATCATCATCATCATCATCATGATCATGACAGGTAGCAGTAGGGTTGAAAAATGTTGAAAATCAATCAACCACTCCAAAGGTTCCATGGTCACCTGGCCCTTTTTTGACTGGCCGTTCTGGAAACACCTGGAAACGTCAATTCAAATCTTGCAATACTTCCAAGTCCAAAATGGAGGGAATGCAATTAGTGTGTACTATGTGATGCACCCTAAGACTAAATGTTACAGTAACATGATAATAATATATAATAATCATAATATCAATGATAATTCTTATGACTGTTGAAACCTGGCATGGGCTAAGAATAAATCCAATAACCAACCATGACTCAGGGATTCATATGGGGATGGGGAGATAAACCCTGGTACCTTTTGTTCACCCCAAGTCATAGCTGGGTTAAAATGGATGTGAATAACCCACTAAAAATATCTAAAAATGGTATCTATAGGTATTGACCCATAGCCATATCTTCATCTTCACTTCTGCACCTGTTCAAGACAGCAACCAAGCCAGTGGAGGAGCCGAACGACCTCAGCGACGGGCCATGTGAAGCAGCAACTGGCGCTGACTTCACAAACTTCAACAATGGTGACTTCACATGATTTCACTATGAAGAAATGGTGCTTCAACCTGAAATAACCTGATTTAACTTTCAAAATAGCTGGGTATTATGCTTCACAAACATTCAGGATCCTTCATCTGCTAGGATTCCGACTTTGTTGCGCGGAATCCGTTCTGCAATGCCTGCAAGGCGTGCCTCAGGTATGGATTCATGGGACAAAAACATCCCAAAGCTGTCAGTGTCCAGCTGACAGAGTCCCTTGTGGAGACCTGATCCCATGATATCCCATGGTCTGGGGCTTCTGGGGCTTGGGCTGGCTTGGACCTCCACGAGAAGAATCCAGTTCCATATCTGTCTTGTCTTTCAAGTGGTCCTGATGAACAAATATGAACAAGGCACGCATCGGTCTTGATCAGTCTGACTGGGAGGTGCCATTTTGGGGGATTCTTCCACAAAATGGATGAATTTGGTGTCGTGAATTGGCTGGATTCATCCACGGGAACACCATCACCTAACTCAGATCTTTGGTTGGCCTCTGCAAGCAACATGAGCCAGCATCTCCATGTTTGACAATCGTTCAGTTAGCCTCTGATTATGCGGATTGGATAGGGGCATAAGATTCAACATTATCACTGATCTTGGAATCCATAAATCAGATCATGAGTCATGAGTCATCTCTGCCTCTTGGAGCATGTTGCAGGCCTTTGGAGTATCATCAAGTTCGAAACATCTTTGGCTACCCAATTTCATCCCGAGTCCACAGCGAATTCCTGGCAACCGTTCATCAACTCGTCTGCAAAAGCACGTGCGTTGATGCCTGGCAGATCTGTACAGAGCAGCTCTCAAGTGGTTCTCGAATGGTTCAACCACCCGATATTCAGATCCAGTATGACCCAGTGATCCATTGAGTAACCCACCCCACATGCTTTGCTCAGCCAAGAGGCCGAATCGCCATTCCCACTCGCCCACGCCGTCTGCTACCTTAATAGGACTAGTTGGGGGCAAACGGTTGAAATCTAAAATGGCCATGGAAACTTACCATCTTTAGTTTTCATGTTAGCTTACTTAGATGATGGACATGTGACTAGTGGAACCTGTGAAGACTATGCACATCTCGTGGACCCAGGATTCTGAAATTTTCCGGCCACTTTGACAGCTTTGACATGGCAATACATTGATTGGGTTCCAATAGAAAGTCTACGTTTCTGTGGCCAAGCCCAAGATTCTCGGCCCTGGTTGGCTCGATTTTTGGCTGTTTTGGGTGTGCCTGAAGGAAGAATCCGCAGCGGTGCCACACATATTACTTCGAGATGTTCAATTTTAGGTACGTACAGCTATCAGCATATGTTATTCATTTTCTTTGAACATGACATTTCGAGAGCCCTCAAAACCGCTAGTTGACCAACATTTCCATCCTATTAATTGGTTCACCACGCGAGCTGCGAGGCCCAAACTCCCAGGCTGAGACCATGCTCAGCTGCGAAGTAACCTTGGATGTTTTTCAGCTCCACGGGGGGATTCATCCAAGTTATGATACTTTGAACGGCGCAAGTGACATAGGATATGAAATGAAACAATACGAAAAAAAACTATAACAAAACAGAACAGGGAAACATCTGGTGCAGCAAGTGCATTATTTCAGATGACAGTCGGAAACTGGGTATCGAGCTGTCAGCGCCGCCCGGTGTGGCCTTTTTCGTTTTTTTCCGGGGAACCATGGGGAAATCCATCCAAAGAGGGAAAAATATGGGAGACGTGTGGAGAAAATGGTGATGGCCATGATGATCATAGGAGTTTGGGGTTGCCCAAAAATTCCACTCGATCATCCCAAATCCCATTGGTTTCCATTGGTCAATCATCATTTTCCCATGAAAAAATCCCATCAGGCGATCCGAAGGGAAGCTTCCCGCCTTCTCCGGGTGGGGGATGGAAAATGCACCGTTCTGGAAAATCAGCTTCTCCGTGGAAGGAGCCTCCGAGGGTCAGTTTCATACAGCTGGGTGGTTGAAAAAATGTTGATTTCATGGGAGATCCGAAAATATCCGAAAATCAAATGGATGATTTGGGGGTAGCCCTATGTTAGCAACCATCTCAGAATCAGACAAAGCTATTTGGTGGAAGGCTAGAGGTAGTTGTTGAATCTTGTTGATGCATTGGTGCATATGAACACAATGATACATAGTCTGTCACCATAGAGGAGAGCTATGGACCGCGTACGAGTGGATATCTACGGGAGAACTATGAAGATCCATGAAAATTGCAGGTAGCACCAGAAGTTTCCAAAATGATCCAACTCCATGGAATCTGCTGGCCGAAAAACCCAGTGCCAAGACGCCAAGTGCGAAAACACATTGGTTTAACGTCGAAGCATGGCTCTGATTCGACTCTCAAAACATCTCAAAACTATCCAACATACTTTAGTTGGATGCAATATGTTATATCTCGAAACTTGGAACCACTTTATTTCTGAAATGATAACATCATTTCACGCAGTGTGACCCAATCCGCCCATCCTTCGCCGTGGGAAACAGAACTGCGTCCACTGACCTGGTCGAGATCCACCCTTTTTCGGAGAACAGCTACGGGTCAAAATGTTGGCAGTGGTACCATGGTGGACACCTATATAGATATGTATATATATATACATAATATCGTGTATATTTATATTGTCTTATATATCCCTACAAAAACTGGAAAAGTATGTTTATTTATTTATCACTATTCACGTATATAATGTGTATGTATATGTATAATATAATAAATATAAATACATAATTATACATACACATGTACAATGATGTTCGTCCACCCAAATATGGTATCATTAGTCTTGACATGTTTTGACCCTAAATGAAGGCACCTCTGCAGAAGCTCGGAAACGTCCTGGGGACGAAGGTTTCTGGGGAGCTGTTGAGTATCAAGGGGAAGGGCAGCGGATTGGCACGGGAAATACATATAGTTCTAGAATGTTCTAGAAACCTACTGACCTACTGACCTACTGGAAGCTGGAACGCACTATCACTCTCTACTGGTGGGAAGCTCAATATGCTCAATGCTCTTCAAACATCATCTCGTTCCACGCGCTTCGTTTTGACCGAGGCTGTGCCAAATGGATCATCAAAGTGTCCACGACTTTGCCCTTTACATGATTTTCATCGATTTTTCCAAATCCACTGCTCCAAAATCCTCTAACTAGCTATCCTCAAACCAGCTCCCAGCTCCAACCAGGCTCCTGTGGCCAAATTCGCATCAATTTTTCCATTCCAGGGTCAATGGTATCCAAGCTGGTGCCTGAGGCACAGGCAGTCCGGGGATTCCCCCATAGCATCCATGGATGATACACGGGATACCCGTGGGGTGATGTACCAGAGGCTTGGTTCCCATGTTTCAAGCGAGCTACAGCTTGTACCAATACGGCGAATACGGTCATAACTGGGACTTCAGTTGGGGTGGAACAACCGTTGAACAACCGTTGAACAACCTATATGAAATCGATCAACCCATGGGACATGTGCAATGGCCATGATCCCCAATGGGGCCATCATGAGCCATCCATGGAATCCGCACTCAAACGATGTAGGTAGTCTGTGGACCATCGCCTTAGCAGTTTGATGAATCATGTAGACCACCGTCTGATTTTTTGAACATGTTTGAACTAACATGAACAAACGATTTCCTGTTCGCACTCAGAACTACTGAGTTTTCGCACTTTTCGCGCACCAGCATTTGCCTGGGGTCAGCCATGGTCAACCCGTGGCTGGGCCAAGTTCACCATTCCATGACTGCTAGAATCCAATCAGCCACAGATGAACCATGGAATAGGATGGAATAGGAGTATGTAGAATTTCAGACATCTATTCCTCATTGGCTCCACTTTTTCTTCAGCAAGGCGCCGTTGCCGTGGCCAGAACTAAAAGAACTATTAAGCGATATTAAAGGGTTGCTCCCAACACCCCAAATAGGCGGGGATAATTGGCTAAAGAAAAGGATGAAATCAGAAAAAAGTATCACCTTTTCCATGGCCTTGACCGGCTATAATTGAATCTAATTACTTATAATTGGTTGGAGCAACCCTGTGTTATGGCACCTCATCGGCCCTTGGATGCGCTCACGCTGTGTAACAGTAGAGCCAGCAGAGCCCCCATTTGCGGAACAAATTCACCATTCTCAAAGCCCAGACACTAGCAGCAACCACAGCAACGCCCGCCACAAAAGGCAAGAAAGAAAGAAAGAAAGAATAAGAGAAATAATAAGAGAAAGAATAAGAGAACAAACGAAAAAGAACAAGAGAGACAGAGAAAAATAGAGAAAGAAGGCACCAATTTAGCAATTTGAGAAAAAAATGAAAACAACAAAAAAGAAAGACTGACACAAAGGAAGAAAGGAAGAAAACACGGAGAACAAACAAATACGAAAAGACGGGCAGCGAAATAATAAGCACCGATTGGCCAAGCAAGAAACCCCTCTAGTGGCTCATGTGGCAACTTCAGCACAAAATGTTTAAGCGTTTAAACCATCTCAAAACTTTTAAGCAGATCCCTGTAAGCGTGCTTGCTTAACTAGTTTATAACTTACGGTCTAATGCTTAACAGTGTTTTGCCCAACCCTGACCAACAGCAACAACCACAACATGACACGCAAACCGACAGAGACTTTACTTGGATCCTGGCCGCTCCGACAGACTTCTCTCCAGGTCTTTGGGCGCTTCCGCCGGCGCGGAATCCGCCGGCACCTCCGCCAGCGCTGCCGGCGCCTCCACCGGCACCCCTGCCGGCGCTTCCTCCTGCTACCAGCACCATCGTGACTACGGTGACCCACAACCCTCAGTGCTCTTGGACTGGTGGCTACAATCTTTCTTGTGCAATTTTGGATGGCTGGGGGGCACAACATTTCTAACTCCACGATGGTACAGACTATTACAGTTATTACAGACTATTGTCATCTAATGTCATCTATGGTCATCGTTTTGTTTCGGTAATTGGGGACACAATGTTGGAATTGGGATTTGCAAGCAACGCTCAGATTCAACATCACAAATGGACACATCTTATTGCAACCCAGTTTGGAACCCAGTCTTCCTCAATGGCTTATGTATTCGAACACCTCACATTTCATCACACGTCAATTTTGTTCAAAGTCCTCGAACCTCCTGGCCAATGATATTCTGACATTCCAATCCTCTCGTTATCAGCCCATTGTGGCCATTACTCAATGTAACTGTCTTTCTTTTTTACCTTCTTCACCTTTCAATCGCCACAAACACTGATCGCCAAAACCTGTGAAGACCAAGCCAAACACCGGACTCTTCTCCTCTTCATCCGGGTCAGAAATCTGACCAATGCTGCTTCCACCTATGCCAAGACTGCAAATGTCGACGAAATCCATCTGCTCTTTGGAACATGTATTGGGGCACCCCAACAAGTTACAGGGCCCCCAGGGGTAGATTCAGTTTGGCATGGCATGGCGTCCTGCAGTGCTCATGGTACAGTTGGCCAACTGGATCCCCAAGGGATCCATTCGATGGGCTCCCACACCCTCGGAAAGCCCAGGCATCCAGGCCTGAAATCACGCAGATTGCTGGACACCACCATCCCATCCCGGCCCTAGTTTCACAAAAATCATTATCTTTAGAGAAACAGTGTATGCATATTATGCATATATGATCATATATATATATATATTACATATATATTATACATATATGGTACATAACGATTGATACATTATAGAACTAATATTACTAATCTTATTTATTACAATTGTTTTTTCGTTTTTTGGGGCACTTCATCCCATTCACTCCAACTGGCGTCTGACGGTCATCACGGAATCACGGGCCAAGGCACAGTGCTGCATGCGGATGTTGATATAACATGCTCCACACGTTTTTTGGCTTCCACATCGCCTGGGACGTAAGGGTCAAGTTGTGCCTTGGCACCTAAGAATGCTGGACCATAAACATTATTTTTCTTAATGTTAAACAACTTATAGTAAATCAGTAACAAAACAATCATCTGCTAAATTGTTTTTTTGTACATTTATATAAATCGTTTCCTTCATTTGGGTGATGATTTTGATCCAAACCTATAGTGGAAACGCTTTGATGTGCAAAATATGGATAGGATTGGGTTGGTCTTGTTTCAAACATGGATAGAATCACACTTTCTTTCACGTCCTGGCTGAAGTCATCTGAAATCATTAGCAAATCCCTACCCCTTAGACCACGGGGGGCAGAAAATTTTGATATTATCCTTTTCGAGGGTAGGGGATGAAAAATTGTAATATTATCCATGCCAAGGTATGTGAACCCAGCTGAGCAAACATGAGCAAACGATACAATTACAGTTGTAAAAATATATATATGAATAAACGACTGCAAAAATACAAATTCAGTTGTAAGTAGAAATGTCCTAGCCTGAAGCAGAGGACCCCCCCTTTGCAGGTAATATTGGGGCTGATCGGCGCTAGAGTTTTACATGAACAGGTTTTGGCATGATGATCTTACGATGCGTGATTCATTTTGTAGTTTCAACATGTTTCAACCAAAAAAAAAGGAACAAGTCAATCCTTCTAGCACCACACAAAAAAAACAAACACAATCGACCATTTTTTGTTTTTTTCATATCCATGATCTACTTTCCCGTTTAAAGGGTGGAAAAGGCTGGCTCTCCCAGGAAGATAAGGAAGGTTGGGCTGAGTACCTTCTTCACATTTACAGTTCGTGCCATGCGCTGCTGTGGTGTTGTTACTGGGATGGATAGGTTGGCCCCACTAGGGACAACGAGGCAAAAACTCTTGCCAATACAGAAAATGGATGAACATGGATGAACGTGGGCAAAAGTTTCAATTTCTTCCTTTTTGGCGTCTCTTTGCATCTCTTGTATTATACCTTGTATTGTACCTTATTTGTGCCTTCTTCTCGTATCTTGTTTCAGAAAAAATAGTTCTCTGGAGAAGGGACTAAGTGTCTTCTCTCGCTTCTTCCCCTGGTGCAGATATGGACAATATGGACAGATGGAAAAGCAGAGGTGGGAAGAGTCAGAGAAGAGAAGAGCAGAGAAGAGAAGAGAAGAGAAGAGAAGAGAAGAAGAAAGAAGATCAGAGAAGAGAAAGAGTCAGAAGAAAGAAGATGCAGGTGCGCGAAAAGGTAGAAAAGTCGCGATTCACTGCGTTTTTCACAAGATTTGTGGCTCCGGAGGGTCAAAAAGTAGGCTCGCTAGAGCGGCGGGCGCGGAGCCATCTGGCCAGATGAGAGATGAAAAATTGCACGCTGTTGTGGCGCCGAGCACATTTCGAAGTCAAGGGTTAAAAACTGCCGGGTTCGGACCACTTTCGGAAGTTGCGATGTTGAAAAGGGGGACGCCATTGTGGCGCGAAGCACATTTCGAAGTCAAAATGTACAAAGCACTTCAGCCTCGGAACACTTTTGGAAATTGAGATGTCGAAAAAGTGCACGCCGTTGTGGCGCGAAGCACATTTCGAAGTCAACATGCACAAAGCACTTCAGCCTCCGAACACGTTTGGAAGTTGAGATGTCGAAAAAGTGCACGCCGTTGTGGCGCGAAGCACATGAGCCTCCGAATACTTTTGGAAGTTGAGATGTCGAAAAAGTGCACGCCGTTGTGGCGCGAAGCACATTTCGAAGTCAGAAGGGTTAAAAAGTGACGGTCTCGGTCTCGGACCACTTTTGGACGTTCAGATGTCGATTCGCGTGGCAGGCGCAAGGGATTGCGCACCCTGCCAAAAGTGAGCAAAACGAGAAGGTTTTTTTGTAGCGAAATCCAAAAAACGATGGCAGGAGTGTGACATTTGAAGAAGATCCACAAAGATGCATGTCGCGTGGCAAGCACGGTACAAGAGACATGTTCATGAGAGATGTTAGGAGGTCAGGGTATTGATTTCCTGATAGGGGTTGCATTTTGGAGCATCAGATCTTCAGGTTTGCTAAGATGATTTTGCGTGACAAGTGCAGCACTTGGTACGGCCTAGCCTGGCATCAGTTTTTCGTGGCAGGCACACTACTTTAGACACATGAGGTGTGGAAAAATCGCAAAAAACATTGGTGCGAGGCCATCAGCTCTGCGCTCAACTTTCCATTTTTGAAGGAAGTCTCGCAGAATTGCTTTGTTTTTGATGTTGTCAAGTTCAAAAATTGAAGAAGTCTCGCAGAATAGCTTCGTTTTCGACCTTGTCAAGTTCAAAAATTGAGGAAGTCTGGAAGATTAGTTTTGATACTACACTAAACTACACTACGCTACACTACGCTGCACTATTGCTACACTACGCTACACTACGCTACAACACTACTACAACTACACAACTACAACTATAATACAAAATATGAATTAATACAAGTGCAAATACTACACTACACTACACTACACTATACTACACTACACTACACCACACTAGACCACACTAGACCACACTAGACTACACTAATTACACTACACTACACCTACAACTACACCATAACTGCAACGACAACTACAACTACACTGCATTACACAGCACCTCGCTACATTAATTACGCTACACTATATACACTACGCTACGCTACGCTACACTACGCTACGCTACGCTACACCACACTACAACTACACGACATTGCACTACACGAATTACACACCCTCACAACTACAACTGCAACTACACTACACTAATTACATCTAATTACATTACACCACTACAACTCCACTACACTACTCTACAACTACAACTACAACTACAACTGCTCTACACCACACTACATCCAGCAGTTGTGGGTGAGGTGACCACTGCAACCATTGCCACCACTCCAACAAAACACAACTCCAACCACCTTTCGGTCCATCAGTGACTTCGCTCTGCCATCCATGCATCACAACAACTCACCTCTACTAAAATGTCCTATCCCTGAAACTTCCGTCACCGCCTTGTGCGGTACTACTGGTATCATGTTATATCATCATATATCATCATACATGGGTTTGTCTGAAAATAGGGTATATTCCCAAACAAATAGCCATTTAGTAGGGATAATGATCATTAACCATTGGTTTTAGGGGTACACTATTTTCAGATATCATCATATATGTGTTGTTAACCAAAGGCCCAGTCGGCCCAGTGGATCGGTTCAAAACCCCCATCTTGGAGCTACAAGCGATCCGGCCCGCATAAAAAACCAGGCCACACAGCAGGAGTCCCTTGTCTCTGCTCGTTTCACGAATCCTTGGTGGTGAAATGGGGGAGGAAATTCCCATGGAATCCTCCAAATAGCAATGGATTGATCCTGAGGGTTAAACCATCGCAAAATGGATCACCATGGACCATGGACCCTGGAATGGACCCAGCTGAATACTTTGTTTGGGATCCCCAAGTGAGCAGTGCTTAGTTACCCCCAAAGAAGTCATGATTGAACGAGATGTTTTCTTGCTTGGTAGTTCATCATCCACATCTTTCCAGTTTTCCTTAGAGAGATGATTAACTGAGAACAAATCAACTACTAAGAAATGACCTACGGCTGGTTAGTTGGTCGTTCATCACACCCCCAACAATCATCTGTTGGTCTTGGCCTTGTAATGCCACCCATTCCTGGTGATTCTGTCATTGAGCCCATTCGAGCTGGTTGATTCTGGGGTTTACATATGGGTTTACCACCCACATTAACCATCTCCGTAATATCAAAGAATATATATACATATATGCACAAGTAAATATAATATTTATAATATATATTATATAAATAATTAAATATGTATATATATATATAATTATATATATTCCCCAAATGAAACCCTAGTTTAGTAGCGTTTAGCTCTTGATCTTGGGCCCGAAATAAAGGGGATCTGGTGCCAAGCTTCATCAAAGGACGCCACAAAGGCGGCTCTGGAGACGACATGCGTCGAGTCTCCTGGGGACACGTGCTTCCCCAGTTTGGCCCTTAAGAGGCTTTACCCGGAAAGGAAATGGTGGGCAAACAAGCTGCAAAAGATCATGAGGATCTTGATATTTTGATAACTAAAATAGGATAAAACCTCTTGAAATAGGCATGTTGAACATTGAGTAGCCAAGATTCGAGGATTTTAAGACCGCCCACTTGGGATTGTAGCCAGGTAGACTTCACGTTTTGGCCAGCAAAATTGGGACTTTCACTAACCTCATATGTGAGAATATGTTCGAACAAATATATTATTGTGTTGATCGACATTCATGGGATAATGAGCTCGTCAAAATGGAGATGGAACTACAAGCGGATCCAGTAGCACATGTGGGCACTCCCTACAATGGACCCTGCATGGCTGGTGATCTTCTGTGATCCACAATCCCCCCAATTGCTTCCTCTGCATGATGTGCACTTGATGGGGAGAGAGAATATATTCTCAGAAGCTGATTGAATTATATAGACCTATCCTTCCGTCTCAAAAGAAACTGGGTCGAATTGCACCCACAAACTTTGGAGCTGTGCCATGCCAGCCACCTTGGCTCCAGGCTAAGGTCGCGCCTGAATTCCTTTGATAGTATCCTCTTTGTTAATCACCTCCCTCATCGGGGCATCCTTAGCCAGTCATCGTTGGGGTCGTCGTTGGACCAATGCCAGGAACGGAGATGAAATGTGTGTGTGTGTGTCTCTGAAAATGGGGACACCCAAAACTAAAATTTGAAGCGGAAAAAAACACGAAGAAGAACCATCAAATGTGGTGGTACAATCCTTTTTTCTGACAAACCTGTCTGAGTTTCCCTGCACAGGTGATGCCCCGGCACCAGACTGTTTGCCCCTTTCTTGGCACAACTGGCACAAGTTGACATGACAGTTGGTGAAATGTGGAATCAAGTGGGAATGTTTTGTATGGCTTGGCTGGACCCTGGTTGAAAGTGTTTTCAGGATGGCCGCCAGTGAATACACAATGAAATTGAATGGAAAAAATATAAGACCGTGACAAAGATCGCCTACAGGCAACAACAATCATTAGAGCAATTTGACACCGTTTAGACCTGCAACCCCTTCAATCTGTCCGCGTATACTCTGCATTGGAAACTACCTCTGCGTGATTCTGATTTACAGGGAAAATGGGGGGATCCACGTTTGCGAGGGCGCTGAAAGCGTGAGAATCTATGTGTTTCGCTCTGATCCTGATTCGCTCTGTTCTATCATTGACTTTCCTCATCCGATCAATTCAAGGTGAAACATCTTTTGAACACAATTCGAAATATGATGAAAAATTTCGGATGAAACTGATGAAACTCGTTCTAACTGTGGACCTCATTAAAGGACCCTGTCCAGTGTCCCAAGCGCCCCAAGCCCTGTCCCATGGTGACCTGCACCATTCTCGTTTGTTCCGGTGCTATCGGGCATCCTTCGATGCGAAACCATCAACGTAAAGCAAAGGGCAGTTCGCCAGGAAGGCACATGTAGGTACCCTATATGTTCATACATATATCGACATATGTGTAAGTATTATATACTTTAAGCTAGTTGTGATGTTCTTTCTATGATATATATTTATATATCGCATATTGGACATTTAGTATCATATTGTATGTTTGTACATGTGTGCGATGCATGCATATATATATATGATTAATTATTAATATACGTATGTTTGTATGTATAGATATGCACAAATTATACATATACATACATTTATGCCATATATAATAGTAGACAGTTAACTATACATATACATATATCAGTATTACATTAATTATATATCTAGATCTAAATCATGTCGGGAGATTATCTGCCATACATTGGGGCACATGATGAATTCGCAAAGGCAACTAGGCATGATGCCCCTGACCATCGTCGTTCAGAGGTCGCAATAATTTGCCCGAGTGTAGACTAATTGCTCTATTGAAGGGGTGCAAAATCCCTCTTCCCAAACGAGAACATATGAAACAAAACGAAGAAATGGTCGGAAACATGATTTCGGGAGGTAATGTGCTCTGAAATTTGACTTCAGACTGGGCAGGGCAAGGTAGTAGAATTTCAAAACTGTGGATGTACATTATATACACACTATGTCTTATGTATCAACAACATTTAAATATGTATACACATATGTATGTATGCATTACAGTATATATATAGATATACACATACATATTGTATGTTGTATGTGTAAATGTGTGTAATATATTGCATGCTCGTTCGTATTCAGATTGGGGTCATGGTGACTAACATTCAGCGCTTGTCGATCCAGGCGACTCTCCCAGGTTCAGAGTTGATGTGGACGTCGTCCCGTCACTGACTGGAGAATTTTCCACCTGGGAGCAATGATCAGAGGTGGGATCCTTCAGATGCTGGATCAGTTTTTGGGGGGAATTATATCAGATGATAATGGTGTATATAATAATATAGCTATAGTTGTACATATAATCTCATAGTGATATAATATCATGATTTTCATCCGAAAAAAAGTGATCAGATGATATTCAAACTTTTTTGGGGCTTCGCGGTCTGACAGTTGAAAAAACTCAACCGCTGGCCTCCTTGTCCGTTTTTGCTTCAGCCTCCTTCGGCAGCTCCAAAAAGGGCAAACAAAGTCACCCATGATGAATGATAAACAAGTGAATGTGTATATTTACATGTCTGTATCGCGTGAAATGCTTGAAATTATTCAGTCCTGGAAGTGCTGCAATAAGATGCAATGTGTTGCAATGGAAGGCAATTTCGATAAGCATAGCTTCACATTAGATAGGTAATAAATCATAATCATGAGAATAGCTAAAAGAAAACATGATAATCATCACATCTACCAAGAATATCCAAGAATTGCGTCATTAATCACCACTTCATAACCACACGATGATAGGATTTTAAATCATGGCGTTTATGATTATCGTATATCTATATATATATATATACATGAATGTGGTGATTAACATCACCATCATCACCATTACCACTATGGATGATACTGTAATAATCAGGGATATCATGGATAATTATGATGGTATCACTTAAGCAAAGCAAACCTTGTGGAGCTCACCTCCAAAAAACGCGCCTCTCCAAATGCGAAAGGCATCCGACGTCGCAAGCGCTTAAGCATCACGCTTGCATGACCCTGCGATTTTGGGGAGACTGGTCTGTCGTTCAGGTGCTGTTTGGTGTTGGATGTTGGCTATTGCACTCCTCCATAACATGGCTTAAATAATGGAAACAAAATAACATGGAACCTATTAGCAAAAACTACCATTGACATCGAATGTTTGCATATCTTCACCTCTTGGACACCCCCAGGTATTGTCCATGTGAATCATGGAATCTCGGGAGGTACTTGTCAAGATCATGTTGCTCTAGCCTCACTGGTCAATGTTAGCTATTTCGCTAACATGGAAGATCATTGTGTGAAAATGTATGGGATGTTTCTGGTTATTCTATGTTAACTGTTATTCTGATGTTTTTGCCATGTTGTTTGATGCCTTGTGTCGATGAAAGCCCAGTCCTCCATGCATGAGGTTGTCCAGTCACAAATAAATAGTCACAGAGCGAGATCACAAATAGTCCATACCGCCAACACGACAATCATTCGGATGATACGGGACACTATGACGCTATTGCTTCACAAAAACTCATAAGCATTTAATCACCAGTCCTAAGATTTTTGAGGTCCACGTGGGTCATATCCTGGTGTATCTACCCGCTGCATTGGTTCCACCTGGGTCTCAAGTGCTTCAGCTCCAAAATCTTAAGGAACATTTATGGAACGTTCATTCTTTGGCCATGCCTCACTGATACGTGGATGCTGGTGATTTCAGCCATATTTGGTCCCCTTTCCATCCCCCCAAAATCATGGAAATGGGAGGATTTGAGGCTACCAGTAGGTTGGGATGGGTAGCCTACCCCATCCAGCCTCAAACTTGCCTCCTTTCTTGGAGGCCATTCTTCCAAAGAAGCTCGCAAGCTTCTTAGCGCCATCTGACAGCACTGGGAGAACACCACTGGGCTGCCCACCACCAGGAATCCCCCATCGGCATGTGGCAGCGGGGTAGTTCTCAAAGGTGATTAAATATCGCCAGCTCTTAGAGGTCTCCTAGGCATCCGCCTGTAACATGCAACCCCATCCCATCCAGGTCCTTCGTCGATCGAAGAAGACGCCATTGCCATGGTGCTGCTTTCACAGCACTCAACAGCACTCAACAGATATGTAATAGAAAACACATATAGATAGAATAATCAATCTTGAATTACTTCAAATACACTGCAAGTTGCTGTGGCACATTGTGGCACATCACAAGTCATTGAGCCTGGTCTGAAACGACCGGCTGAGCCTGTGTTGCGAGAATGCATCGGTCTGCCAAGGCAAATTCCAAGAAAATTCAGTGGATATTGCTGAAACGACTCACGATAATCAGGATAGGACTCTTCACAATTTGCTGAATATGCGACGGGAAAAAAGATCCCATTGCTGTTGATGCATGTGCTGCCATTTGCAGTAAGTTCAAAGTTTGTTGAGAATGCTTTCACAATCCCGCCAACACCCAGCATTTCCATGCATTTCCGATATGTCGGGAGATGAGCTGCTCTACAAAACGGATGTACTTTCGTCAAGCTGAGTAGGTCGGAGTGCACGTGGAGTCAAATCCGTGGAAAAATGTGTGGGTCGACTTTAATGTAGTTTCAACATGTTTCAACTATTTGACCGATTTTCTTTCAAGTATTTATCCCAAATCATCAACTGTGTATATGTTGGCTTCGAAAATGATGGCTTGGAGTTTCCATCATTCCAAGCGTGTCGTGTTGTAAAGGAAACGCACATATGATTTTTTAAAACGGTTTTAAAGTCAGGGTTTGACGCCGTTATTTTTGTCAGAGAGAGTATATCAATTCCGTCAGTTCCAACTTGGTCTGATATTTGAGCGTGCGGTGGCGATAAGGTTTGCTCCTCATTTATCGTCATCACCTTTCCATTCCAGCATATTGGCTACATTTGTCTACTATGGTCGGTGACTTCTTTCTAGATCAATGACCTCTAGTTTCTGGACTTTTAGTTTCGCAATCTGGTTCATAACGGAGAAACACAGAGAATATGTTTACGCCTTACGCCTGTTGCTGTGTGACGGCTTGCATTGGTTTGCGGATATTTATGGGTTCTGTTTGTGGCTTCGTGTACTATTATTAGCTGTACCTCTGCACAGGAAGCTGCTCAGCCAACCTCTTTTGCGCGAAGCAAATCGGACATCATCGGATTGGCGTGTTGGACTCACGGCCGTAGCACCTGTCAACTGGGCTTCTGTGGCTAAACTGTACCCTGCCATCATCCTGTACCAGAATCAAAGGTGTCAAAGGTGTCATGTCGATATTTTTCGATTGGACAAACTTAGGTGCCCAAAACATGCTAAAACTGGAATGGCTCACAAGCGGCTTGTTACCACACTTGACCAACCTCTCTAGTTTCCAGTCTTAAATGTTGACATATGATACGCAGGCAGTACTTTCAGGCAAGCGAAGCCAAGGCCGCTTAAGCAGTGATGGCCCAAGCAACGTCCGAAACCCATCCAACAGACCAACAGAGATTTCCCCCATCAAAACAACATCCGATATGTTCCAAACTCTTTTGTGAAAATATGTATAGAATTGTATAGATACATTAATGGTAGAAGTTTCAACATGTTTCACCCAGAAAAACGATGAATTTCACCTCGCAGGCGATGGCTTCCCGATCCTTAACCTCACGGCCATCTCCTGAAACTCGCCGGGGGGGGTTTAAGGCAAAGAAAAGGAGGTTTTGTGTGAAAAATGGTGGCTTAATCACAGAACATGGCAGTATAACATTGTTATAACGCCCATCATTTGATGGTGATATAATAATGATATAATGAGATATGTATAACCAACATTAACCAACCGGATATATATATAATTAATATATATATATTACGTATATATTATGGGTTTGTCTGAAAACGGGGTACCACTCAATTGGCCATTGATTAACCAACAGGGCCCAATGGGATGAGATGGGATCAAGAAACATCTGGATGTCATGAAAAATCTGGGCTTCATAAAATGGAAAAAGTTCATTTAATGAGTATCTGGAAGATTAACACCAATAAAAATCAATAAATCTGGTCAACCTATCAATCTGGAAGAATCCGGATTTCGTTCATTGAAACCAGTGAGTAGAATCACTCTGGATGGTGTATGATGGTGTAGGCAGATGTAGTCAGCCTGGATGATTTTCGTCAGATGTACTTGACGAGCAAAATTTCGAGAAGCAACCGTTGGATAGCATCAATCTGGATATCATATGATATCATGAAAGATATTATGATGATATTACATACATCTACATACTAACGTGATATATTTTATACAAATTCTTATACAATATTATTGTGCCATATGCTTGATTTCTGAAGATCTCAGAATCTTCAGATATAAATGATACCAGTACGTACTGTACATATACGTACAAGTAATCTGGATGAATATCTGATACTCATCAAGTTGTTGAGAAATGTTGAGAATATAACTTCCATCCATTATCTTAGGATTTTTCCATGTTGGATTGATCAGGCTTATACAGTAGTGGATAATACTGATAATACTATAATATTGTAGGATAATATTGGAGATTGGTGGATATGCTTTGTTGGCAATCCATGTGATTCATCTGGATGCTGTTTGGACTGTTTCTTATTTTCATGGATAGATCAGAAGGATTTCATGCTTGCTGGTCTCTACCCGTTAAGAAAATATCAGTCAACTGGGGGGATTCCTCTCAAACAGGGCAACCAGGGAAGCAACGTATCAAACATATTGAAATCAGAAGATCACCAGATAGATTTAGTAAAGCAACACACTTTGGGGAAATCATCTACAGTACCTACTCTTGGTTGAATAGGCTTAGTCCTCTCCTTCGCCATGCCAAGAAGGCCCATCAATTTTCCAAGTCGAGCACAAAACAGATTCCCTTTTTTGGGAGCTCAATCCTTTGGGTCCGTTCTAACCCATGAGCATTTGGCTGCCAAGTCACGCAATTTCCAAGGGCCATTCTCGCCTTCACCCAACAAGGCCACCTGCGTGCTCAAACTTGGTGGCCCTGTTGGTTCATTAATATATAATTAGTGATTTGTCAAAGATCACGATCCGACACCCTACGCCGTTGGTGTGTTGGGCTCTTTTTTTTGGGGGGGGAAGACCCAAAACTCACTGAATTGGTTGAAGCTGCGAAACATGAAACCATGGTGTTTCCCTGCAGAACAGAGGATTCCTGAAAACGTCCACTGCAAATTCAGGAAAATCTGGGAAAGTCGTCCCAAATTCCAGGAAAACCGTCCCAATTCTGGAAAACAACCTTCCAAATTCACCGAAAAAAAGAGAAAGAAACGGCCACATCTGCAGGGGAACCTATGGACATCTTGCAACCGAACAGGGGACCGCACCGGTTGCAAGCGCTTGGCTGCAACAAAGCGTTCGACTGCCAAACGCACCTTCTGAGCACCAGATCTTCCCAGTGGAACAAGTGGTTTTCGAAAAGGATCCGCATGCTAACACTTAGAAGATAGTGCGATCTGCACACGTACGAATACTTGCTCAGGCTCTCAGGGTAAGCTGCTAGCTGCCCCATCCAAGGTCATCTGAGGTCATCTATGGCAAATCTATGGTCATCTATGTTTGAATTTCTGTATCGGTATAGGCGGTGAAGATTGGTGAAGTGTACAGGACACCATGAGGCCTTTGCCATCTCAGTCTAGGCAGGGATTCGGAGTTGGGTCTTCTCACCCCACGATTCCATGTATTTCCCTGCTGTGCATTTCTCGATGCATGGTTTTTTCCATGACATTTACATACATTTACCACCGACTCTGGGGGTGGAATCACCTATAATCACCTGGTCACCAGGTCACCACATCACCCTGCATCTGAGGAGCTCCCTCTTCGGCACCATAGTCATCGAAAATGATGAGACTAACCTTGTGCAATCCACCAGCGCTTGCGGACTGAGGATTTAGATTTGGTTCTTTTGGGTGGTTCTATTTTGTGGGCTGTGTTATTGCGATGTTTGCAGCACATCCATTGATGCTGAAAGCACCCAGGAAGAGAAACTTGGATCTCCACCAATCATACCAATTATATGATTTTCTGCCCGGAGATGCTCACAGGAACCCATTCCTGTAGAAACTTGTTCCAACGACGTGAGGTCCCTCATTGGGGGATCACTGGCCACTGAGGCTGGCACTGTGGGAATACGCAAGCAGTTGTCAATATCTTGCATCACCTGAGGTCGGTGCTCCTTTTTTTCCGACCATTGTGGTGATAGTTTGGGAGCCAACACTTTGGGAGGCCCTTTAGTGAAACGGGAGATTTGCTCAGATGATATCAACATGACTCACAGAGAGGAGAGAGCGAAGGTTGAGGGCATTTTGGAAGCTCGAGGGAATTTGGAAATGTGTTCAAGACAAATGATCGAAAGTGGGGCCTGGGCGACTGGGCGATATACAGATGTGGAGGTAGGCATCTCCAACCAGATCAGAATACCCTTTCAAGACATGTCAAAAAAAATGTTGTGAGGTAAATCATGGTAAATCAGGCATCACCCAGTGAGGTCATAGCTACATTCACGCAGCTTCCATGCTCCAACCATATAGATCGTATAGTAGTGGTGGATGCTTCCAACCCGTCCCCCATCATCCCCCAAACATGCAAGTCTTACCAAAACTGTTCAGAACTCCGAGATGGAAAGTAAACAGATTCTATGAAAGATCATGATCTTTTTAAGATCATTCAAGATCTGCAATGTTTCATGAAACTATACTATATATCAAAGTCATTAAAATACATTTAAATACTATTTTTTAGTTTCTATTACTATTCCTATATGAAACATCACATTATTGGAGCCTCACCCAGGTCTGCTGTCTGACCGTTCAGCTCCCGGCGCTTTCAAAGTCATGAGAGGCATCCAAAAAGACCACCTCACTGAAGCGAACAAAATTTTGGCCGAAATTGGAACGATAAGAAACGAATTATATATGTAATCAATACTAAACAACCCCATTTTTGATGGTTTATACCACCTATTTATAGTGATTTGGGGGATAGCTTATGATGTTTTAACATGTTTTAACATGTTTTAACCACATTACATAATAAGAAACGACAAAAGGCAACAGCTCATTTAGTCCACAACAGCTGGTTTTTCATAGATCTGCTGACCCGCTGGAACCAGTGCAGGAGAGAAGTTCTAGAAGTGATTTTTTAATGGTGCTGCACACCATCAACCAGTCTAGACCAACTATATAACTTATATAACTACTATAAAACTATGTAACCAAAATGAGCCTTGTTTCACAACACGTTTTTAGCTTCGGCAGCTGTCAGGAAACTGAACTTGCTGTGCTTCTCCTTACCACCAGGTCACGTGGATGGTGTTCATGGAAAAAATGCTCCAATCCTGAGCTGGGGAGCTTCCAGCAGTGATCCTTCACGGGATATATATATAATATAATATATATATAATATAATATATATATATATAATATATAATATATATATATATGTTTATTTATTTATTATGTTACTATTATTATTATTACTATCATTTTTATGATTACTATTTATTATCATGATTATTTATTATTACAATATCATATTATCCCAGGCCTTCCAAAGGCCAGGTTAAACTTGGCCGTTACACCAACAGCCGGCCGTTACCCAAAGACCATCGAAAACTCATGGTATTCATTTATATAAATTTATATAATGGTTTTGTTGATCTTGGGAATCTTGGGATATATGTATATAACATATATAAGGGGAAACCGGCCAAACCCAACATAAACTCCACAGCCTCAGCAACAACAGCTGCGCATCCGCCAATTTCAAGTCTATAAGTGCCAAGACTGCTTGAAATGACCAATGGTTCCAAAGATTTCAATGAAAAACCCGTGAAAAAATAGTAAAACTTAGGCGCAAGTTTTTGGTGGCTTTTCACGGGTTTTTCACGGTCCAGATCTTGTGGGAAATGTCAGGTAGGTACTTTCACCAGATCATATTCTGTTTTGTATTTGGTGACATCATGATCTAAGATGCAGACGTTTGTTCAGAGCCCGTGCTCCCAGGCGCATTTTACTTGCATCGAATTGAACCAAATGGCCTTTTTATCATCCACCTATCTATTGAGCATATAATGGTTATTATAGCTATAGATAAAGGAGCATCTTCCAAGACCCAGGTTAAACCTCGCCGTTAGTAAAGACCAGGTTAAACTAGATCGAGGAAGCGCTGGGTATGTATACATATATATATACTTATTCATTCATATCATCATATTCATAATGCATACATACTCATACATAATAGATTCGATATTAATATAGTAAGACTGGATGCTGTTTGGTTGTGTGGTTATGAGGCCACCATGTCACCGTCAGCATACAAATCATACGCCTTTGCGCGCTTCCCAGAATCACATCTTGACCTAAAGCCTTGGTTGTACCTCTGTCACATATATGGTGGTGTCCATAAATGGGGGTGCCCAAAATGAATGGTTTCTAATGGAAAATCCGATTAACATGGAGGATTTAGGGCATTTAGGGGTACCCCCCATTTTAGGAAACCCCCATATTCACAGACAAGTTCTCAGATGTTCTTAGCTCCCAATTGCCCCCAACATGATGGCTCTACCTCCCCCATTGAAACCAAGGCACATGGTTTCCTGTGTGGAACCTGGCAAATGAAATCTCCATGAGAGGAACTGGAAGGAACATGGCCACCTCAAATAGGGTTTCCGCCCCCGAACTGGTGAGTTTGATTAGCTTCCTGCGCCAACACCTTCAGGGATAAGAGTGCCACCTTTTTGCCGCTTCCAAAGGGTATGCACAAAATGCTGCAAACTGCAGTCATCACCTGTATGACCGATCCCATGTTTGGCTGTGGAAGAAGTGATAGACTTATCAAGCGATTGCGCATGTTTATCCATGTTTATCCATGTTCATCCAATGATCCATGGATACCCATTGAACTTTCAACTGAACTAGCCAGTGCCGCACCTCAAGTAGAGGATGTTGTCCCGGTCCATGTTGTATTCCCGATTGGCCTGTCACTTATACACTTCTGCACCCTTCCAGGTCTCCGTTCATGGTATGTCATGGTAGACTAATCATAGCTCATCATAGCTCAATATCAAGCTGGAGAATCCCCTAATGTATACGTATATATAAATTGCATTACATAGCCACATGTATAAACATGTATAATTATGTATATATGGGTGCGAGTCAAAAATCGGGTATGGATCGCTCCGCGGTGATCCGTACTATGGATCGCGAGTGCTTACGTAAGGTGCCTGATCCGTACCCTTTCGTAAGGGCTCATCATAGCATACAAACTGTGCTGATACTCCCCGACTTGCTATTACTTCTCCTCCTGCTACTGTTGCTGCTAAAACTGTTACCACTGCTTGTCGAGGGAGCAGAAAAAGAAACAGCACCAGCAGCAGTAGTGGCAATAGAAGGATAAGATGCAGCAGCAGTAGAAATAGCAGTAGCAGTAGCAGTAGTACTAGTAAGAGTCAATAGTAATCTAATGGTAGTAGCAGCAGTAGCAGCTGCAGTAGTACTAGGAGTAGTAGGAGGAGTAGGAATAGCAGCAGCAGCAGCAGCACCAGCAGCAGCAGGAGGAGTAGTAGTAGTAGTAGAAGAAGCAGCAGCAGCAGTAGAAGTAGAAATAGAATCGGACTTTCATATTGGCATTTGTTGTGGCGTGACTGGGTTCGGGTATGGATCGGGTATGGAACGGGTATGGATCGGGGTATGGATCGGGACACGCTATCTGGGCCGGCTTTCACGCAATGGCTGTGAAGGAAGAGAGCGGGGTATTTCAAGTCTAGTCTAGTTCTACACGTGCCAGATAAAGCAGAAACAGAAGGAGTTGTAATCATAGCGCCACTAGAAGTACAAGAAGCACCTAGTGGAATTAGAACCGGTCTTACTAGCCTCCAAGGTGCGCTTGCAATATTGCTAGTAGCTACTCAACTAGTTGCATTTGTCCAACTACCAGAAGCACACGGAGGAAGTGAACCAGCACCATCAGCGAGAGCAGGACCAGCAGGAGCAGCAGCAGAAGCGACAGCAGCAGCAGCAGCAGCTCCTGGGAGGAAGATGACTAGTAGTGGCAGCAGCAGCAGCAGCACGGAAGCAGCGGAGGCAGCGGAGGCAGCGGAAGCAGCAGTAGCAACGATAGCAGCAACAGTAGCAGCAACGGGAGTAGCAGTACGAGGACCAGAAGCAGTATTGGGATAAAAAGCAGTATTGGGATAAAAAGCAGCATTAGGGCCAGCATCAATCTTTCTTCAATGAGAAAGGGGTATGGATCAGGGGTATGGATCAAGGGTATGGATCATGCAGTACCACAGGGTATGGATCAAGGTATGGATCGGGGGGTATGGATCGTATGTGGGTTCGGGGCCTTGATCCATACCTTGTATTTTGACTCGTACCCATATATGGTCCCGTCCTCCGTCTCTCCACCCCCCCCCCCCCCCCCCATGGGTTGGGTCCCCAGGTAGCAGCCCCCCTTCCCTTCTATTTGCAAGCTATTGGCAGCATTTCTGAGGTCCAGCTTCGTATTTGCTAGGTCTTTGCAGTATTTCTGACTACCAGCCTCGCATTTACTAGCTACATGCTACCTTTTAGGCGACCTACGTAGCACATATACTCCTTGAAAGTACCTACGTGCTACCTATAGTCATATATACATGTGCTATGTATCTACTGTATCTACTTCCTATTTACTACCTGTGTACTCTCACAACACCACCTGTGTTTAACATATACCGTACCGAACAATCAATCAATGATGCCATGCATACCATACCTATCATACCTATCATACCTATCATACCTATCATATCTATCATACACACCATACATACCATACATATGAAATGTAATTACCACACCTACGATACATACAATAGCAAACATACATGCCATACATACCATACATACCTTACATAGGAAATATGCCATACCATCATAGTAATCATACATACCATACAGACCATACATACTGTCATATCAAACATACCATACCCAACAGACTTACATACCATACCTACCATCCATACAATACCAACCACTCATGCCATACATACCATACCTACCAAACATACCATACTTTCCAAACATGCCATACCAGACCGACCATACACACCATACATACCCAACATACCATACCACACCCCCACCACACCACAGGGGGGGGAGGGGGACAGCGCCACACCGCCACCACACCACAGGGGGGGAGGGGGAAGATCTCATATGGGGCCAGTATATGGGACCCATCCCATGGGGGGTGGGGGGAGGGGGGGGGTGGCAGGGCCTGGTGCATATATATATATATATATATATATATACATAATACATATTAATACACAGTATAAATATATATTGAGTATATAATGTGTGTATAATTATGCGTATACCGTATACCGTGTAGCATTACATCTGCATGGCCTGGAGCAGCTCCGGGATGGCGTCCAGCGCTATCACCTCCCATATAGGATTTTCCCCTGAAAACTGCAAGGGGTACGGAGGTACTCCGAAATGGATATTTAAAAATACAGAAAATGCTGATCAACGGTTGGATTTGGGGGTACAGTATATCATTCCCAAGAACATAGAAAAATGATGCAAAATCACGGAAATTGATAGAATATATGACCATCACTGAGTCATATCCAACATTTCGGTCTCCGACTTGGTGGAATTCGAGCATCCAGGAGCTGATGGACTCATGATTCTCCATCCCCGGCATGCCAAAGGAAATCCTGAGCTTCCCTGACTCGCTTGAACAAGTGGCTCAACAAACGCGTGGTGTAACCAAAGTAGCTGCCGACCTGTCACACGACAGGACAGGGCACCTTGGACATCTTCACATGACAATCTGAAGATGCAAAATGTGGAAATATGTATAACTAGTAACTATATGTAACTATAGTATTGTATGTATAGTTACAACATGTCATAGTGACTATAGTGTATGTTTTCAAGTGTTACTCGGTAAAAATGTAACCATGTGTTCTGACAAGGATGACAAGGCAAAACTGTCTCCGACACTCTTCCCTATAATGATTCTCAACATGAAACTCTCAGCACGCGCATACTTCGTTGTCTGTTTGGAATTCATACGTTTTGTGTAACATAATTTACGCTGCCCGGTGCATTTTGCACTGAAATCAAAATGCAGATTGTATGCTTGCTATTGGATCGTGGATTGCAACGACAAACACGCTTGAGACCTGTCATCTTGTAGTCAGGAACAACACAACTCGTTCGATGGGATGCTGGAACCTCATGGAATCGCTATAATCTTCATGACAGTCCAGGAAACTGGCAACCATCAAGCGTGCTTCAGTACTTTTCAGGTCAAAAAGCTTCAATGATGGTCACTGGTAACTGGGACTGGGTTACAGCCATTTTTCGTTTCTTTTTCAGCACAGAATTCCAAAAAACCGTCCCAAAAAAGCCTCGAGGACTGTGAAGTTTTGAGAGAAAGCTCCCAATTGTTGGACCAAGTCCTGGTCCCGAGATCGGCACGATGACCTGATACATCCAGACCTGACCTGATCATTCCATAATCTAAAACAAATGGTCTTCGTGTCCTTTTCAGATAGGTCAGGACCCACAGAGACCACATCAGAAACTAACGAAGACCAGTTCTCTCCCAGGTAGAACATACATCAAAATACTCTAATCTCAGGTGCTCCAGTTTTAAAGCAGGCCTACTGTTTGGACTGGAACATGTGTGCAATGACCGCAGGTTTTGTGACGCGGCTTAAGTTGAGACAGCGACCAAGATGTATGCCCAAATCAAAACCTGTCAAGACTCTACCACAAAGGAACCGTGGGCTACAGCCACTTGACTTGCAGTATTTTTGTTTCTGTGTATAGTCCAACAAGGATATTCACGTCAGTCCAGGATATTCACGTCAGTCCAGCCATTATGAGCATGAGAGGGCTGTCAAGAAAATCAGCATGGCAAGCTGGAAACTCTGGGTGTCCAAAACGCAAATAATAAGACGTCCAGCTCTTCATCAACAAGATTCCTGACTTGTCAATTCGAATTGTTCATCTGCCAAATCACACTCCCATTTTTCATTCCAATCCGGTCATCCTGCCACAGTACGAGTAGAGTAGGGTGCACCAAGAGAAAAAGTCGCGCATTCTGCCTTCTAGATCCTTCTAATATTATATAGTCACTCACACATGCTGGAGCTCTGAACCCCTGCGGACATGCTATACTTCGACAAGTGCAGAGTTCAGCACATCAAATTCTAGTCCATGGCTTTGTGTGCGCGTGGCTCGTCGTAGATTCACAATGATTCAAAGGCCCTGTGGTGATCACATAAGGGTGCAGCTTTTAGTCAACAAGTAATAGGGCTTGATAGGGTGGAAAAAGATGGAGAGAGTGGAATCTTCCAAGTCACTTGATTTTGACCGGAGCTCTCTGTTGCAACTTCTTGCTGCTTCATGGGCGCCATGGACCCACCATGAAAGCCACGGAATCAAGGCAGCAAGGCACATCCCGACAGCATCTTCACCAACTTTGGTGGAAACATGTGGAGTTTCTGCATTTGACACCACCAGCAGTAACCAACCACACAAACCACGCGAACCTGCTGGATATTCCGACATGATCATTTACAGTATCATGTTCATCAATGTTCATGGCCAACCAAGCATGAGGGATGAACAGAGAATCTCCCATTGGATCGTCCAACAAGGAGCTGGCAGAGGAAAAATTGGCCGTCGATTTTTTGGCAAATCCGCCGTGACCCATTGGCTCGTCCAAGTTTCAAATATCGCACAACAAATGGACCAATTGAAAAAGAGCCTGACAAATTGGAGTTGCAACATCAATCATCAATTGAAATGGTGTTTTTCCATGGGAAATGCGAGGCTTGGAAGCACATTAAAAATCTGTTGTTGGTGTCTTCAACCTGCATTCCACTTCAAGCTGTGGTGTATGTCAGGCGGCTGCCCCACTGGGTGAAATGCTACGAAAGGGCCCCCTAACATCACGAACTCGGTGCGGTGAACATCCCTGTTCCATCCATTTATCAACGAATCTGATGTGAGGATTGTGAATCTGGCAATGACACCTGACATTTGTCGAACATTGTCGAACAATGGCCAATCGCCATGAGTTCCAATGGTTTGATCTGCTATGATCTGCTCTCTGCATCTCTCTGCTACGTCAGCATGCGGTGAAGCGAAGCCTGAAAGCTGAAAACGACTTCGAACAGCATACTGGCATGGAGAAAGCTGCAATGAACAGACTGGGGTGGGACCAGAAAGGGGATATACCACTCTAGTATGTTTTGGTAGGGAAAATAGTGATACACCACTGGAGTTTGTGACAGCCTAGTCTTGCACAAACCCAGGCTTCCAGTCTTCCAATCACACAAACCGGCTTCCTTGACATTCATGATCCACAGGCCTTTTTGTGCAGCGGTTGCAATCAATTTGAGGGATCCCAATCTTGCTCTGGAGCCACGGGCTGTTCCCGGAGCGATGGGATTTTTTGCAAATGCCTTCGGAACAGTTGCAGCCACCGAAGCGTCCGATTGCCAGCTGAAGGAATAAGAAATGGATGTCCATGGATCAAGTTCAGGAGGCTAGATCATGCCAAATTGTTTTTTGAGCCATGTCAGTATGTTCGTTACATTTGCGAAGTGTAGCAACTTTTAAGCAATGCGCCCTTCCTTTTCTTCTTGTTACTATATTATAATTATTATCCCTCCTCATCAAGTCGTGAGCAAATTCTATACTTTTGAAGAAAAAGTGGAACGAGGGAACACTCCGGTGTTTCTGCCGCTGTTTTGGGTATCCGCTGAGCCTCATGAGATGCAGTACTGTATGAGCCACAAGTCTATATAATTAAGCTTTGCCTGGAGCCTGGGCCTGCTTTGCAAAGTCTTCTGCTGTGGTGCCTTTGGTTATTTCGCCCCAAGGTCAAAGCAGACTGCTGCGACCACTGACATCAAAGGGAACCGTTCACAACCAACAATGGAGTCAAGTCGCACTAAAGTTAGCCATTAGCCTCTTCAAGTAAAGAATGCATGCACTCCCCCTTCCCTTGTTAAGGATCCATTTGTTCAATCTGTTCAATAATTATCTTTTGCACCCAGGTCTACTCAAAAGGCCCCCCTACAGGCTTTGGATAGCGTCACCCCGCTGGCTGGCAATGGCTGGCAATGCTAAATGACAACAAAACTAATCTTTCATGTTCATTAATTTTCAACCATCAATCGGTTTGGCGGCGGGTTCCCCCCGGACCAAATCAATCGCCGACCAGCCAGCTGAAGGCACAAGACTCAATTAAGCAGTTCATACTTCATATTCTTCGATCAAAAATTGTCTCCCAACTCACGTGGAGGAGTAGTTGGCAATGAACGAGGCGTTGGTGTCTGAGATGAAGGGTGCAACAAGAAGACGAGATGGTGCCGGTTGCACATCACCTTCCATGTTTCGGCCATACTCCAACAAGTCTGCGCACAGACGGTCCATGTTCTGTGCCGACAGAATGCAGCACTCTCGATCCACGTGCCATGTCACTTCGGCTGGAGAACATTGGAAATTGTCGTAGGACGTACCGGTGGTGGAGCCAATGTACACCATTGAGTCTCTGACTGGTTCGCGCCAGGTCGTGTTGAACATTTTGTATTCTTGTTCTGGCCAGTTCACGATGCGACAGATCTGTCCTCGCACAAAGGCCGTTGGATTTATGGATCGATTGAAGACACCACCCAAGCCGCCTGACAAAACCCCGTCAATGGGCCCGGCCGTGGAATGGACCCAGTGAAACTCATAGGTGTAGCCCATCTTCACATTTTTGCAAGATTTCCAGTGGTAATCATCCAAGGTCCAGCTGTCATTGCCTGCTGGTCCCTGGTTCACTGGAGCGCAAAAATATCCTGGGCGGATGTCATTCGGAACAATATCCCCAAGCACGGCATCGGTATAGTTGAGGGAATAGCCCCCCTCATCCACGTTTTGGTGTTCACCACCCAAGTGAAAGTGCGTGTTCACGTGGATCAGATTGGGGAACTCATCGTACAAACCTCGGAAATGATTCCAAACTCTTCCAACACATTGAATGGATGTCAACTCATAACAGCGTTGAACAACAGTTGAACTGAAATCTATAGGTACTGGGTGTTCTTTCCAATTCTAGTTTTACGATGTTTTACGGCATTAATTACATGCTCTTCACGGAAAAAAACTTTGTGACTTTGTGTGATTCATCCAGGAACCGACGGGCTGCACTTTCGGAGGCAACAATCCCACGAAATCTTTACTCACGTTGCGTGGCGACTGCGGCTCTGAGGTGGAGCAAGGATAGCGTGGAGGCGCCGGGGGGGAGGAGGAGCTGGGTGACTCTCTCGACGTGAGTCAATGATCTTCTTCTTGACCCACCATGGAAGACCCTCATTCAACTCATTGAGCTCATGACCCGTCATCTCTCCTTGGCTAAGAAGTTTCAAGGCTTAAGACTCTCGCACCAAGCTCAAGGAAGACATCTGAACACAATCAACAAAGAACATACTAATACTACCGTAATCAAAAGAACTATGTCCGAAAGCAAGTTCACCTAAAAGAAATGTCTGATATGTATTGATATGTCTGCTGCAAACACAAATTCAATCGAATAATATCGAAAATCGGCTTTATATTGATTTATGCCTTTCTTGATTGCCAATCCTCCAAGGGGCCCTTGTTCACACAATAGGCAGCTGTAGCTGGAGAACTACAAAGAACACATTTGAAGATCTCCTAAGATCGCTAAGATCTCCTAAGATCTTATAAGATCTTCTATCATATCCTAAGATCTTCAATCGTCTCCTAAGATCTCCTAAATTTGGTTTGAAATTATGTTTGATCCAGGTCTCGGTGATTGAGCTGCATCAGAGTCGAGCTCTCCTCCTGACAAGTCTCCTCTTGACAGGCCTGATCCGCAAGCGCCTGCATCATAAGAACCGCGAGAACCGCAACCCTCGCCATGACTTGATGCCGAGTCTCCCAGAATACTCCGAGAATCTGACAATCCGAAAGGATCCGAAAGGGCCTACCTGTTGAGCCGGGCACTGCAGTCTCAACGTGCTCAGCTTTCGACTGGGCTACACTGCTACACTGCAACTGACTCTCGGAAGCCGATGCTTCTCCAATGGTGACAGCGTATCTAAAGTGCCACTTGCGAAGTGCTACGCAATACAATCCCACTATATAAATGAAAACCTTCTGCATTGGTAGACGAATCCTGCATTCAGAGAATAATCATCTACCTCGGACTGCGTTCACTGTCTTGCATCTTTTTTGCCTGCAACATCCAGCCACGATGCCCATCCAGTGTCGAAAGCAACTCAAAGAGTTTTCCCCTGCTATGGAGCTGTTCCAATAGCAGTGGGAAATCAGTGCCTTCCGCTAAGGTGCAACAGCCGGCCACCGAAGCGTCCCTGATATCGAACATGACTCCCTTGTGAATGGAACCTGAAATATCAGGATGGACTTCTTTTGCGGAAAAAAGTCAGATTGCCTCACGGCTAAAAGAATAGGAAATGGTTTAGGAAGACGCTACACAGGAATAGGAAATGGTTTGGAAAAAGGCGCTACATTATGCTAAATTTTGCTGCTAAATGCTAAATTGGTCTTTTCTTTCATATACTTTGATCCGTGTTTAGTAACCTTTGAGAGCAATTTGCCTTTCTACTCCTTTGTGCACGCAACATGCTACAACGCATGTCTTCAACATGCCTTGCACATCTTCATTACTGGTTGATCACATGTTGGGCTTGACTCTATCATCAAACAGGCAGCATCCTCAACAGAAGCAGCTCCAAAAAATGCTCAACAGGAACCAAAGGACACCTCGGTTCTGCTGCTGCTTTTGAGGTATACTCCGAGCCCTCATGAGCTACAAGTACACTATGAGCCACAAGCAGACGACTCAACTGGGCCTGCCGTGCAGCCATCTGAATTGAGAACGAGCCAAGTAGCTGAGCCTTCAAAAAATCTGCAGACCTCGTCTCTTGCGACAAGGACCGCCCAAAGCCTGGAGCAACCTGGTTTTTACTCTAATTGTAGTCCTTCTCTGTGTGGGCTTCTTTGGAAACTTCGCCCAAAAAGCCCACCAGACCAACCACTGACATCAAGGGGAAGAATCAAGAACCCAAAATAAGCCAATTACAGGCTGAACATGTCATATATGTCATGTCTTTCTTGACCAAGGTCTACTCAAAAGGCCCCCCACAGACTTTGGATAGAGTCACCCCACTGGCTGGCAATGCTAAAGGACAACAAAACTGATCCTTCATGTTCATTCATTTTCAACCGTCAATCGGATTGGTGGCTCCCCCCGGACCAAATCAATCGCCGACCAGCCAGCTGAAGGCACAAGACTCAATTAAGCAGTTCATACTTCATATTCTTCGATCAAAAATTGTCTCCCAACTCACGTGGAGGAGTAGTTGGCAATGAACGAGGCGTTGGTGTCTGAGATGAAGGGTGCAACAAGAAGACGAGATGGTGCCGGTTGCACATCACCTTCCATGTTTCGGCCATACTCCAACAAGTCTGCGCACAGACGGTCCATGTTCTGTGCCGACAGAATGCAGCACTCTCGATCCACGTGCCATGACACTTCGGCTGGAGAGCATCGGAAATTGTCGTAGGACGTACCGGTGGTGGAGCCAATGTACACAATTGAGTCTCTGACTGGTTCGCGCCAGGTCTCGTTGAACATTTTGTATTCTTGTTCTGGCCAGTTCACGATGCGACAGATCTGTCCTCGCACAAAGGCCGTTGGATTTATGGATCGATTGAAGACACCACCCAAGCCGCCCGTCAAAACCCTGTCAATGGGCCCGGCCGTGGAATGGACCCAGTGAAACTCATAGGTGTAGCCCATCTTCACATTTTTGCAAGATGTCCAGTTGTAATCAGCCAAGGTCCAGTTGTCATCCATTTCTGGTTCCTGGCTCACTGGAGCGCAAAAATATCCTGGGCGGATGTCATTGGGAACGACATCCCCAAGCACGGCATCGGTAGAGTTGAGGGAATAGCCCCCATCTTCCACGTTTTGGTGTTCACCACCCAAGTGAAAGTGCGTGTTCACGTGGATCAGATTGGGGAACTCATCGAACAAACCTCGGAAATGATTCCAAACTCTTCCAACACATTGAATGGATTTCAACTCACAACAGCGTTGAACAACAGTTGAACTGAAATCTATAGGTACTGGGTGTTCTTTCCAATTCTAGTTTTACGATGTTTTACGGCATTAATTACATGCTCTTCACGGAACAAACTTTGTGACTTTGTGTGATTCATCCAGGAACCGACGGGCTTCACTTTCGGAGGCAACAATCCCACGAAATCTTTACTCACGTTGCGTGGCGACTGCGGCTCTGCGATGGAGCAAGGATAGCGTGGAGGTGCCGGGGGGGGGGAGGAGGAGCTGGGTGACTCTCTCGACGTGAGTCAATGATCTTCTTCTTGACCCACCATGGAAGACCCTCATTCAACTCATTGAGCTCATCACCCGTCATCTCTCCTTGGCTAAGAAGTTTCAAGGCTTAAGACTCTCGCAACAAGCTCAAGGAAGACATCTGAACACAATCAGAGACATGATAGGGAAATCAGAAACAAGGGAAAAGCATCAAACATATATTTCAACATAGAAAATTAAACAAAGAACATACTAATAATCAAAAGAACTATGTCCGAAAGCAAGTTCACCTAAAAGAAATGTCTGATATATGTATTGATATGTCTGCTGCAAACACAAATTCAATCGAATAATATCGAAAATCGGCTTTATATTGATTTATGCCTTTCTTGATTGCCAATCCTCCAAGGGGCCCTTGTTCACACAATAGGCAGCTGTAGCTGGAGAACTACAAAGAACACATTTGAAGATCTCCTAAGATCGCTAAGATCTCCTAAGATCTTATAAGATCTTCTATCATATCCTAAGATCTTCAATCGTCTCCTAAGATCTCCTAAATTTGGTTTGAAATTATGTTTGATCCAGGTCTCGGTGATTGAGCTGCATCAGAGTCGAGCTCTCCTCCTGACAAGTCTCCTCTTGACAGGCCTGATCCGCAAGCGCCTGCATCATAAGAACCGCGAGAACCGCAACCCTCGCCATGACTTGATGCCGAGTCTCCCAGAATACTCCGAGAATCTGACAATCCGAAAGGATCCGAAAGGGCCTACCTGTTGAGCCGGGCACTGCAGTCTCAACGTGCTCAGCTTTCGACTGGGCTACACTGCTACACTGCAACTGACTCTCGGAAGCCGATGCTTCTCCAAAGCTGACAGCGTATCTAAATTGCCACTTGCGAAGTGCTACGCAATACAATCCCACTAAATGAAAACCTTCTGCATTGGTAGACGAATCCTGCATTCAGAGAATAATCATCTACCTCGGACTGCGTTCACTGTCTTGCATCTTTTTTGCCTGCAACATCCAGCCACGATGCCCATCCAGTGTCGAAAGCAACTCAAGAGTTTTCCCCTGCTATGGAGCACGTGCTGTTCCAATAGCAGTGGGAAATCAGTGCCTTCCGCTAAGGTGCAACAGCCGGCCACCGAAGCGTCCCTTATATCGAACATGACTCCCTTGTGAATGGAACCTGAAATATCAGGATGGACTTCTTTTGCGGAAAAAAGTCAGATTGCCTCACGGCTAAAAGAATAGGAAATGGTTTAGGAAGACGCTACACAGGAATAGGAAATGGTTTGGAAAAAGGCGCTACATTATGCTAAATTTTGCTGCTAAATGCTAAATTGGTCTTTTCTTTCATATACTTTGATCCGTGTTTAGTAACCTTTGAGAGCAATGTGCCTTTCTACTCCTTTGTGCACTCAACATGCTACAACGCATGTCTTCAACATGCCTTGCACATCTTCATTACTGGTTGATCACATGTTGGGCTTGACTCTATCATCAAACAGGCAGCATCCTCAACAGAAGCAGCTCCAAAAAATGCTCAACAGGAACCAAAGGACACCTCGGCGGTTCTGCTGCTGCTTTTGAGGTATACTCCGAGCCCTCATGAGCTACAAGTACACTATGAGCCACAAGCAGACGACTCAACTGGGCCTGCCGTGCAGCCATCTGAATTGAGAACGAGCCAAGTAGCTGAGCCTTCAAACAATCTGCAGACCTCGTCTCTTGCGACAAGGACCGCCCAAAGCCTGGAGCAACCTGGTTTTTACTCTAATTGTAGTCCTTCTCTGTGTGGGCTTCTTTGGAAACTTCGCCCAAAAAGCCCACCAGACCAACCACTGACATCAAGGGGAAGAATCAAGAACCCAAAATAAGCCAATTACAGGCTGAACATGTCATATATGTCATGTCTTTCTTGACCAAGGTCTACTCAAAAGGCCCCCCACAGACTTTGGATAGAGCCACCCCACTGGCTGGCAATGCTAAAGGACAACAAAACTGATCCTTCATGTTCATTCATTTTCAACCGTCAATCGGATTGGTGGTTCCCCCCGGACCAAATCAATCGCCGACCAGCCAGCTGAAGGCACAAGACTCAATTAAGCAGTTCATACTTCGATCAAAAATTGTCTCCCAACTCACGTGGAGGAGTAGTTGGCAATGAACGAGGCGTTGGTGTCTGAGATGAAGGGTGCAACAAGAAGACGAGATGGTGCCGGTTGCACATCACCTTCCATGTTTCGGCCATACTCCAACAAGTCTGCGCACATACGGTCCATGTTCTGTGCCGACAGAATGCAGCACTCTCGATCCACGTGCCATGACACTTCGGCTGGAGAACATCGGAAATTGTCGTAGGACGTACCGGTGGTGGAGCCAATGTACACAATTGAGTCTCTGACTGGTTCGCGCCAGGTCGTGTTGAACATTTTGTATTCTTGTTCTGGCCAGTTCACGATGCGACAGATCTGTCCTCGCACAAAGGCCGTTGGATTTATGGATCGATTGAAGACACCACCCAAGCCGCCCGTCAAAACCCCGTCAATGGGCCCGGCCGTGGAATGGACCCAGTGAAACTCATAGGTGTAGCCCATCTTCACATTTTTGCAAGATGTCCAGTTGTAATCAGCCAAGGTCCAGTTGTCATTTTGGTGGTCCCTGGTTCACTGGAGCGCAAAAATATCCTGGGCGGATGTCATTCGGAACGATATCCCCAAGCACGGCATCGGTATAGTTGAGGGAATAGCCCCCATCATCCACGTTTTGGTGTTCACCACCCAAGTGAAAGTGCGTGTTCACGTGGATCAGATTGGGGAACTCATCGAACAAACCTCGGAAATGATTCCAAACTCTTCCAACACATTGAATGGATTTCAACTCACAACAGCGTTGAACAACAGTTGAACTGAAATCTATAGGTACTGGGTGTTCTTTCCAATTCTAGTTTTACGATGTTTTACGGCATTAATTACATGCTCTTCACGGAACAAACTTTGTGACTTTGTGTGATTCATCCAGGAACCGACGGGCTTCACTTTCGGAGGCAACAATCCCACGAAATCTTTACTCACGTTGCGTGGCGACTGCGGCTCTGCGATGGAGCAAGGATAGCGTGGAGGTGCCGGGGGGGGGGAGGAGGAGCTGGGTGACTCTCTCGACGTGAGTCAATGATCTTCTTCTTGACCCACCATGGAAGACCCTCATTCAACTCATTGAGCTCATCACCCGTCATCTCTCCTTGGCTAAGAAGTTTCAAGGCTTAAGACTCTCGCAACAAGCTCAAGGAAGACATCTGAACACAATCAGAGACATGATAGGGAAATCAGAAACAAGGGAAAAGCATCAAACATATATTTCAACATAGAAAATTAAACAAAGAACATACTAATAATCAAAAGAACTATGTCCGAAAGCAAGTTCACCTAAAAGAAATGTCTGATATGTATTGATATGTCTGCTGCAAACACAAATTCAATCGAATAATATCGAAAATCGGCTTTATATTGATTTATGCCTTTCTTGATTGCCAATCCTCCAAGGGGCCCTTGTTCACACAATAGGCAGCTGTAGCTGGAGAACTACAAAGAACACATTTGAAGATCTCCTAAGATCGCTAAGATCTCCTAAGATCTTATAAGATCTTCTATCATATCCTAAGATCTTCAATCGTCTCCTAAGATCTCCTAAATTTGGTTTGAAATTATGTTTGATCCAGGTCTCGGTGATTGAGCTGCATCAGAGTCGAGCTCTCCTCCTGACAAGTCTCCTCTTGACAGGCCTGATCCGCAAGCGCCTGCATCATAAGAACCGCGAGAACCGCAACCCTCGCCATGACTTGATGCCGAGTCTCCCAGAATACTCCGAGAATCTGACAATCCGAAAGGATCCGAAAGGGCCTACCTGTTGAGCCGGGCACTGCAGTCTCAACGTGCTCAGCTTTCGACTGGGCTACACTGCTACACTGCAACTGACTCTCGGAAGCCGATGCTTCTCCAAAGCTGACAGCGTATCTAAATTGCCACTTGCGAAGTGCTACGCAATACAATCCCACTAAATGAAAACCTTCTGCATTGGTAGACGAATCCTGCATTCAGAGAATAATCATCTACCTCGGACTGCGTTCACTGTCTTGCATCTTTTTTGCCTGCAACATCCAGCCACGATGCCCATCCAGTGTCGAAAGCAACTCAAGAGTTTTCCCCTGCTATGGAGCACGTGCTGTTCCAATAGCAGTGGGAAATCAGTGCCTTCCGCTAAGGTGCAACAGCCGGCCACCGAAGCGTCCCTTATATCGAACATGACTCCCTTGTGAATGGAACCTGAAATATCAGGATGGACTTCTTTTGCGGAAAAAAGTCAGATTGCCTCACGGCTAAAAGAATAGGAAATGGTTTAGGAAGACGCTACACAGGAATAGGAAATGGTTTGGAAAAAGGCGCTACATTATGCTAAATTTTGCTGCTAAATGCTAAATTGGTCTTTTCTTTCATATACTTTGATCCGTGTTTAGTAACCTTTGAGAGCAATGTGCCTTTCTACTCCTTTGTGCACTCAACATGCTACAACGCATGTCTTCAACATGCCTTGCACATCTTCATTACTGGTTGATCACATGTTGGGCTTGACTCTATCATCAAACAGGCAGCATCCTCAACAGAAGCAGCTCCAAAAAATGCTCAACAGGAACCAAAGGACACCTCGGCGGTTCTGCTGCTGCTTTTGAGGTATACTCCGAGCCCTCATGAGCTACAAGTACACTATGAGCCACAAGCAGACGACTCAACTGGGCCTGCCGTGCAGCCATCTGAATTGAGAACGAGCCAAGTAGCTGAGCCTTCAAACAATCTGCAGACCTCGTCTCTTGCGACAAGGACCGCCCAAAGCCTGGAGCAACCTGGTTTTTACTCTAATTGTAGTCCTTCTCTGTGTGGGCTTCTTTGGAAACTTCGCCCAAAAAGCCCACCAGACCAACCACTGACATCAAGGGGAAGAATCAAGAACCCAAAATAAGCCAATTACAGACTGAACCTGTCATGTCTTTCTTGACCAAGGTCTACTCAAAAGGCCCCCCACAGACTTTGGATAGAGCCACCCCACTGGCTGGCAATGCTAAAGGACAACAAAACTGATCCTTCATGTTCATTCATTTTCAACCGTCAATCGGATTGGTGGTTCCCCCCGGACCAAATCAATCGCCGACCAGCCAGCTGAAGGCACAAGACTCAATTAAGCAGTTCATACTTCGATCAAAAATTGTCTCCCAACTCACGTGGAGGAGTAGTTGGCAATGAACGAGGCGTTGGTGTCTGAGATGAAGGGTGCAACAAGAAGACGAGATGGTGCCGGTTGCACATCACCACCCATGTTTCGGCCATACTCCAACAAGTCTGCGCACATACGGTCCATGTTCTGTGCCGACAGAATGCAGCACTCTCGATCCACGTGCCATGTCACTTCGGCTGGAGAACATCGGAAATTGTCGTAGGACGTACCGGTGGTGGAGCCAATGTACACAATTGAGTCTCTGACTGGTTCGCGCCAGGTCGTGTTGAACATTTTGTATTCTTGTTCTGGCCAGTTCACGATGCGACAGATCTGTCCTCGCACAAAGGCCGTTGGATTTATGGATCGATTGAAGACACCACCCAAGCCGCCCGTCAAAACCCCGTCAATGGGCCCGGCCGTGGAATGGACCCAGTGAAACTCATAGGTGTAGCCCATCTTCACATTTTTGCAAGATGTCCAGTTGTAATCATCCAAGGTCCAGGTGTCATTGGTTGGTGGTCCCTGGTTCACTGGAGCGCAAAAATATCCTGGGCGGATGTCATTGGGAACGATATCCCCAAGCACGGCATCGGTAGAGTTGAGGGAATAGCCCCCATCTTCCACGTTTTGGTGTTCACCACCCAAGTGAAAGTGCGTGTTCACGTGGATCAGATTGGGGAACTCATCATACAAACCTCGGAAATGATTCCAAACTCTTCCAACACATTCGATGGATTTCAACTCACAACAGCGTTGAACAACAGTTGAACTGAAATCTATATATACTGGGTGTTCTTTCCAATTCTAGTTTTACGATGTTTTACGGCATTAATTACATGCTCTTCACGGAACAAACTTTGTGACTTTGTGTGATTCATCCAGGAACCGACGGGCTTCACTTTCGGAGGCAACAATCCCACGAAATCTTTACTCACGTTGCGTGGCGACTGCGGCTCTGCGATGGAGCAAGGATAGCGTGGAGGTGCCGGGGGGGGGAGGAGGAGCTGGGTGACTCTCTCGACGTGAGTCAATGATCTTCTTCTTGACCCACCATGGAAGACCCTCATTCAACTCATTGAGCTCATCACCCGTCATCTCTCCTTGGCTAAGAAGTTTCAAGGCTTAAGACTCTCGCAACAAGCTCAAGGAAGACATCTGAACACAATCAGAGACATGATAGGGAAATCAGAAACAAGGGAAAAGCATCAAACATATATTTCAACATAGAAAATTAAACAAAGAACATACTAATAATCAAAAGAACTATGTCCGAAAGCAAGTTCACCTAAAAGAAATGTCTGATATATGTATTGATATGTCTGCTGCAAACACAAATTCAATCGAATAATATCGAAAATCGGCTTTATATTGATTTATGCCTTTCTTGATTGCCAATCCTCCAAGGGGCCCTTGTTCACACAATAGGCAGCTGTAGCTGGAGAACTACAAAGAACATATTTGAAGATCTCCTAAGATCGCTAAGATCTCCTAAGATCTTATAAGATCTTCTATCATATCCTAAGATCTTCAATCGTCTCCTAAGATCTCCTAAATTTGGTTTGAAATTATGTTTGATCCAGGTCTCGGTGATTGAGCTGCATCAGAGTCGAGCTCTCCTCCTGAGAAGTCTCCTCTTGACAGGCCTGATCCGCAAGCGCCTGCATCATAAGAACCGCGAGAACCGCAACCCTCGCCATGACTTGATGCCGAGTCTCCCAGAATACTCCGAGAATCTGACAATCCGAAAGGATCCGAAAGGGCCTACCTGTTGAGCCGGGCACTGCAGTCTCAACGTGCTCAGCTTTCGACTGGGCTACACTGCTACACTGCAACTGACTCTCGGAAGCCGATGCTTCTCCAAAGCTGACAGCGTATCTAAATTGCCACTTGCGAAGTGCTACGCAATACAATCCCACTAAATGAAAACCTTCTGCATTGGTAGACGAATCCTGCATTCAGAGAATAATCATCTACCTCGGACTGCGTTCACTGTCTTGCATCTTTTTTGCCTGCAACATCCAGCCACGATGCCCATCCAGTGTCGAAAGCAACTCAAGAGTTTTCCCCTGCTATGGAGCTGTTCCAATAGCAGTGGGAAATCAGTGCCTTCCGCTAAGGTGCAACAGCCGGCCACCGAAGCGTCCCTTATATCGAACATGACTCCCTTGTGAATGGAACCTGAAATATCAGGATGGACTTCTTTTGCGGAAAAAAGTCAGATTGCCTCACGGCTAAAAGAATAGGAAATGGTTTAGGAAGACGCTACACAGGAATAGGAAATGGTTTGGAAAAAGGCGCTACATTATGCTAAATTTTGCTGCTAAATGCTAAATTGGTCTTTTCTTTCATATACTTTGATCCGTGTTTAGTAACCTTTGAGAGCAATTTGCCTTTCTACTCCTTTGTGCACTCAACATGCTACAACGCATGTCTTCAACATGCCTTGCACATCTTCATTACTGGTTGATCACATGTTGGGCTTGACTCTATCATCAAACAGGCAGCATCCTCAACAGAAGCAGCTCCAAAAAATGCTCAACAGGAACCAAAGGACACCTCGGCGGTTCTGCTGCTGCTTTTGAGGTATACTCCGAGCCCTCATGAGCTACAAGTACACTATGAGCCACAAGCAGACGACTCAACTGGGCCTGCCGTGCAGCCATCTGAATTGAGAACGAGCCAAGTAGCTGAGCCTTCAAACAATCTGCAGACCTTGTCTCTTGCGACAAGGACCGCCCAAAGCCTGGAGCAACCTGGTTTTTGAGACGTGATCCGGAGAGAGGTCTGCAGAGTTGGTTTCGACCAGCGAAACCCGAAACCCGAAACCCGAAACCGACTCTGAAGACTTAACTTCCCAAAGACCGATCGAAACCCGAAACCCAAAACCCGAAACCCGAAACCGACTCTGAAGACTTAACTTCCCAAGGACCGATCGAAACCCGAAACCCGAAGCCCGAAACCGACTCTGAAGACTTAACTTCCCCAGGGCCGATCGAAACCCGAAACCCGAAACCCGAAACCGACAGCGAAAGTGGGTTTCAATCGACGAAACCCGAAACCCGAAACCCGAAACCCGAAACCGACAGCGAAAGTTGGTTTCAAGCGATGAAACCCGAAAGCCGAAACAGACTCTGAAGACTTAACTTCCCCAGGGCCGATCGAAACCCGAAACCCGAAACCCGAAACCGACTCTGAAGACTTAACTTCCCCAGGGCCGATCGAAACCCGAAACCCGAAACCCGAAACCGACAGCGAAAGTTGGTTTCAAGCGACGAAACCCGAAACCCGAAACCCGAAACCCGAAACCGACAGCGAAAGTTGGTTTCAATCGACGAAACCCGAAACCCGAAACCCGAAACCCGAAACCGACTCGAATCCGACTTTTGGGTGTCTCTCCGGATCGGAACTCTGGTTTTTACTCTAATTGTAGTCCTTCTCTGTGGGGGCGTCTTTGGAAACTTCGCCCAAGAAGCCCACCAGACCAACCACTGACATCAAGGGGAAGAATCAAGAACCCAAAATAAGCCAATTACACATTACAGGCTGAACATGTCATATATGTCATGTCTTTCTTGACCAAGGTCTACTCAAAAGGCCCCCCACAGACTTTGGATAGAGCCACCCCACTGGCTGGCAATGCTAAAGGACAACAAAACTGATCCTTCATGTTCATTCATTTTCAACCGTCAATCGGATTGGTGGTTCCCCCCGGACCAAATCAATCGCCGACCAGCCAGCTGAAGGCACAAGACTCAATTAAGCAGTTCATACTTCGATCAAAAATTGTCTCCCAACTCACGTGGAGGAGTAGTTGGCAATGAACGAGGCGTTGGTGTCTGAGATGAAGGGTGCAACAAGAAGACGAGATGGTGCCGGTTGCACATCACCTTCCATGTTTCGGCCATACTCCAACAAGTCTGCGCACATACGGTCCATGTTCTGTGCCGACAGAATGCAGCACTCTCGATCCACGTGCCATGACACTTCGGCTGGAGAACATCGGAAATTGTCGTAGGACGTACCGGTGGTGGAGCCAATGTACACAATTGAGTCTCTGACTGGTTCGCGCCAGGTCGTGTTGAACATTTTGTATTCTTGTTCTGGCCAGTTCACGATGCGACAGATCTGTCCTCGCACAAAGGCCGTTGGATTTATGGATCGATTGAAGACACCACCCAAGCCGCCCGTCAAAACCCCGTCAATGGGCCCGGCCGTGGAATGGACCCAGTGAAACTCATAGGTGTAGCCCATCTTCACATTTTTGCAAGATGTCCAGTTGTAATCAGCCAAGGTCCAGTTGTCACCCATTTCTGGTTCCTGGCTCACTGGAGCGCAAAAATATCCTGGGCGGATGTCATTCGGAATGATATTCCCTGCAAGCCCGGCATCGGTATAGTTGAGGGAATAGCCCCCCTCATCCACGTTTTGGTGTTCACCACCCAAGTGAAAGTGCGTGTTCACGTGGATCAGATTGGGGAACTCATCGAACAAACTTCGGAAATGATTCCAAACTCTTCCAACACATTGAATGGATTTCAACTCACAACAGCGTTGAACAACAGTTGAACTGAAATCTATAGGTACTGGGTGTTCTTTCCAATTCTAGTTTTACGATGTTTTACGGCATTAATTACATGCTCTTCACGGAACAAACTTTGTGACTTTGTGTGATTCATCCAGGAACCGACGGGCTTCACTTTCGGAGGCAACAATCCCACGAAATCTTTACTCACGTTGCGTGGCGACTGCGGCTCTGCGATGGAGCAAGGATAGCGTGGAGGTGCCGGGGGGGGGGGAGGAGGAGCTGGGTGACTCTCTCGACGTGAGTCAATGATCTTCTTCTTGACCCACCATGGAAGACCCTCATTCAACTCATTGAGCTCATCACCCGTCATCTCTCCTTGGCTAAGAAGTTTCAAGGCTTAAGACTCTCGCAACAAGCTCAAGGAAGACATCTGAACACAATCAGAGACATGATAGGGAAATCAGAAACAAGGGAAAAGCATCAAACATATACCTAGGCCTGCCTCTGGTACCAAATTTCCGCCGCTTGATCAAACATCAAAAATTTTTGGCGTCTCACAAATTTACGCCTTTTCATCTCAAAAGTGCCGTTTGGCTTGGTGATGTTGGGTGAAAGCCCCAGACTTGATTATGGGTGAAGATCTTTCCCAAAAGCTAAGACAGTAGAGAAGCATGATCAGCACAATGGGTTCAAGATGATTCAGTTTCTTTTGGTCTACAGGATTTGGGTCATGAAAAAACCCACAGCCTCGTGTTTGACTTCCACGTACTCACACTCACGCCATGATTTTCACTGCAGCATCAACTTCGGTTTCACATGTCGTGCCTGGGCCTCAAGTGGGTTGCTTGGGAAACGCCCGTTTGTAGAGGAAGCGACACTTAACCAAAAACAACTGCAGGCATCGTCTTTCCATCGACCTGCTATCAACTAGCCGGCTAAGGCGAGAAACCCGTCCAATAACGTCTTCATTTATCTCACAGCTGTGGATGGCTGGGTTTAAGAATTTGATTGCTGTCTTGTTTTTCAGTGCCTTGAACAAATCCAAGGCTTCATGTTTCCACGCATGAATTTTGTAAACCATGGCAAAGGCAGTGATATCGTTTTCCAAAGACCACCTGGCTAGCCAGGCATAACCATTCAGCAAAGTACACATGTGCTCATACAAATGGATTGCACACGCTCTGTCCAGCAGTAGCGGGTGGGAGACCATGACATCATAGGAATCCTTTGCTGCCTTCAGGGCAGACCTCATGACTTTCATGACAGGAATATGGGCTGGTTCTTTTGGATCGAGCAGCAACTGCCCAACAAAATCATCCAACCATCTCGTAATAAGCATTACGTCACTGCCTTTGGTGTTGAACCAAGGGCTTGTACTCAGGTTTGGCCATGACATCAGCGATTTTGAGAAAGTTCTCAGTGCGGGTGATTTGTGGAAGGTAGCGCACCACAATTGGAAATGCCCATGCGCTCTCTGAATCAAAATAGGAATGCTGTTTCCATCGGGTGACAGCAGATCATCGAAGTATTTCCAAAGAATACATACAGCCAGTATTGAAGCAGTTAAGTGGCGAAAAAGCCCCATCTTCAGTGTGTGAAAAGGGTCCCTCCGATACATTTGTTCTGGTCGATTTCCATCGAATGGAATCTGGGACAGCACCGGTTCTGCTCTCCAAGGTCGGATGGTGAAGATGGTCCTCTCCCACGAGGGTCTCTCCGAGATATCCTCAGCAGGCATGCCGGCGCGGCCTGCCAGGCATTCGTGGCAATATTCAGCATCAGTTGTTCTTCCCATTCTGGTATACCATCTGGAGAAATTTGCCACGTAATGGTGGAACTTGATGTCGGCTTTCAAACCCAAGCAAACAGGTGTAACAATACGGTGCTGTTCGATTTCAATGCCTTCAAAAAAGAGGCGTCTCAAGTCCTTTGCTATCAAATCCAACAGAAACGGGACCAGTGTTGGGAAAGCCTTGTAGGTCGCACAAGGCAAGCAAAACATAACGAATCGTGTCAAAAAAGAATGTTCCTTGTAGTTGTGCAAGGCGAAGCATGCATTGCTCACTGGGACTGCCCCATGGTCCTCCCCACAAAACTTCTTCAGTGATGGTTCTTGTGGGCAGCAGTCGCAACTGTGTTTCCGTTTTCTGGTCTGGGCCTGTGCCGCAGACCTGATTCCAAAGGGGAAATCCATCATGAACATTGCTGTGTTTCCACGTCGGCGGCCCCTTCCTTCATCACCATACAGGTAAAAGGGGAGGCAATATTGCAAAGAATTTTCGTGCTGCTCAAAAACTCGGTGTGTTGGATGCTGGGTCCGATAAGCCTCCCAAAATCCATGAAGCAAGCTTGCACCTCCTGCTTGAAAAGATGTAAACCCACCCAGAACAACCTCTGGTGTGTTCCTCAACATGTAGGCCAACGCATCGCTAGGTTTAATGTACGGAATGGGTAATTCCAGACCAACATCGGTGTGAAAAATCACTTCTGTAATCGGGATGTCCCATTTCAACCCCAGGCGGTTGATCAGTCTGTACATTGATCTACTAGCAGTGGAGCTAACCTTCTTGTGCAGGTCTGGTTTGGCAGCAATTGCCTTCGCTTTGGTGATGCGGACGACAGATGCACAAGAGGCCTCGTCGCCGGGTTGAGCAGCATGGGGTGGTTTCCAAAAAAAGTTCATTGAATAATTTCTTGGTTTCATTGCTGAGTTACGAGGGAAAAATTGCTCTTCTGAAAGATTACCCAATATTTGTCCATTGTAATTTGAACACGTATGTGCTGATACGCAGACAGTTTTGCAAAGAACGTCCAAGGCCCAGACCCCATCAGCAATAGATTCAGCAGCAGCTTCTTCTTGAAGTCGGGCTGCATCGATGAAAAAACCTGGCATGTCGGGTGAAACTAGCAGAAGTCAACAGAAGATGCCACTCGTTGAAAATTCTCCAGTTTGAAGCTGGCATGGCCTCAACTTCAAATACCTTCAAGTCACACCCCAATTCTGACACACAAGATTTTCCCCAGGCGTTTGAAGGTTTGCTCCCAATGCCAAAACTGTCAGCTTGCTTTGAAAAAAGCAGTCCTTCACCCACATATAAAGCCCCACGTCTGGGGTTTGGAAACAAGGCTGTCTTGCTGTGACGTCGGGGACTGAACCAGAAAAATGTCATGTTGGCCCCTAGACTTGCAAATGAGGTCACAGGTTGTCACACCACAGCGCGCATGTAGAAAATACTACAGCCTCGCAACAACTATCCTTTGGACACGTGCTGCCCTCACCTACTTCTTTACTTTGCGTGCCTTGGGAGCGCGCTTTGCACAAGCTGCTGTGGCCTTCGCCTTAGCCTTTGCTCGGGGGCTACCGGGTGCTTCACCCCTCTCACGCGGTCGCTTGGCTGCAGGCAACTTCGGCATTGCTTGCCTTGCACAAGGCCATGTGTGGGAGAATGATGGAGAAGGGACATCAGAAAAAGAAGCGGTGGGCTGCAACATGTTTCTTCGATTGTCGAAGAACATCACAACTCTCCAGCCTCATTCGTCCTTCCAATTCGACTCCAGCAATGGCCCTGGGTGAGCAGAGGCCAAAGAGATCAAGCAGACTAACAATGTTTTTTTGAGGGCCCCACTTTTTCACAGAAATGTCGTACACAGCTTGAAGTTCGGCTTCCTTCCTGGGAGAGCTGGGTTTGTAACTTGCTGTTCTTGACAATGGTGCATGGTTGCGTGTTGATTTTCTCAAGTTGCCAACCATACTGCCAACAAGTATCTCTTCAGAAAATCCATCCAAAAGACCAGTATCAAAGATGTCTGATATCTGGCTACGGAAGGATAGCAGCTCAAGACGCTCATTGTCCAACTTCTTGATCAACCTTGGCTTGGCCACAGCTGTTTGTTTTCCTTGTTCCCACCTGTCAGGTGAAGGTTGTTAGATTTTATGCCAGCTGTCCCGTCCCACCGCCTCCTCCGCCTCCGCTTCCTCCGCCAGACCTCAACTGCAAGCGCTAGACCCGCCGGACCTCAACTGCAAGCGCCAGATCGCAATACTCCCCGCCGGACCCGAACAGCAACCTCTGGAGCAAATTCCCTCCGGACCCCAACTGCAAGCGCTAGATCGCAGTGTTCCCCGCCGGACCCGGACTGCGGATCAGAGTGTTCCCCGCCGGACCTCAACTGCAAGCGCTAGATCCCAGTGTTCCCCGCCAGACCCGCACAGCAAGCTCAGGATCAGAGTGTTCCCCGCCGGACCTCAACTGCAAGCGCTAGATCACAGTGTTCGCCGCCGGACCCGAACAGCAAGCTCAGGATCAGAGTGTTCCCCGCCGGACCTCAACTGCAAGCGCTAGATCGCAGTGTTCCCCGCCGGACCCGAACAGCAAGCACAGCCACAAAAAAAATCAGGATATACCAGATAGAATGCCAGAAAGAATGTCAGAAGATATGCCAGATACATATGCCAAAAAAGAATATCAGATAGAATGTCAGCATATATATATATGTAATATAATATTGATATATATATAATATAATATTGATATATATATATATATTGAGATATATGTAATATGTATATATATATATACTTCCAGGTGGTATGTTAGAAACTATGAGTCAGAATATACAATATGTCAGGGTGGGGAACACTAAGAAAGTAATTGTTATTATTCTCCCAACCATGACTCACCACTTTTTGATTTGACAGCTCATATTGCTTCAAGAAGTTGCAGACCCTAGCAGTATCTACCGAAGTGGAGAAATATACTTGCCAATATTTTTCACATATGATAAAGCACGCTCATGTCATCGATGACTATCTTGGTATTCAGGGCTGAGGGGCCGCTTTTGGATGTCAGTGAAGGCCAAACCTGACTCCTGGTACTTCTTGTGCAGATCCGCCATTTTCCCAGCACGCTTTTCCAGGCAACTCCTGAGCACCAGACTACGAGGGCTGGGCATGACGCAGGAACAGCAGACGGTGGAAAGTCAGCTTTAATTTTGATGTTATTGCCGCTTTTTGGCAATGTTTCCGACCCCCCAAAAAAATAACACTTTACTAATGTAGTGACTCTATCTATTCATGTTCTGCCTTTGTTGGTTTGGTAGCTTTTGAAAGGATGGAATAACTGGAACGAGTTTCATCATCTTGTGTGCAATGGAGCTGGGGACTGCATCCTTCAACAACTCCGGAACTCCCAAAGTCTTATGGATCATCTTTGTCGGGTCTGTTGGGTCCGGAACCTTTGTGAGGTCAACCGGCGCACCTGCAGCTAGGGCGGCCAGGGATGATAGTCATCCAAATGATCAGCTAACCAGGTACTGTAAAGAACTTTGTTCTTAAAGAATGAACTCAGCCCATGACCTTCGAGGGACTCGGGGTG